TATTCCGTATTGCCTAAAGTCTTCTAAAATCAGGAGCTAACTTAGTTTCTTATGTAACAGTACACCACGGATAATTTTGGCCTTCCAGAAAAAAATGCAGAAGCTTTCACTTAGGCCTTCCATTGATATCTGCAAAGTGGTTTTTATTATTATTTGTTTACAGGAAACAAAAAGAATTCTCTGTTTAAAAGCTTTTTAAGTGCTGGAAGCAATCACATAGTCTGCACAAAATGGAAATGCCAAGGGCACCCTTCACATGTCTCTGAACAACTGATCACTTTTTAATGTTAAAAAAGCTTATCTCTGTTTAACTGATGTGAAAAAAATTAAGCTCCAGGCTATTATTTCCACAATTGTATGTTTACTGAAGATGCAGGAAATTTCCTGTATTTAGTTTCACATTTATCTTTAATGTGAATCGCCACCTTTCATTCAGCAGATACTTTGATTTGAGCTTTCCGGGGGGGGAAAGGGTTTGTGTCTGACACATTCATCTGCACTGAATGGAGACTGAAGTGACCTAAACCAGATGTTTAAGTTATGTAACTGCCTCCCCCCTCCCCCCGACCCCCCTCAACTTTGTTATATTTTATCTGACACTTGTTGAATAGCAACTTTGTTCTTTTGCCCAGGTGCATACCTGAAGCCTGTTGAAGTATAATCAGACTCTGTAAAAGAGTTCTGCTTTTCTCATCGGTTACATTTAGCTGGTCCTTGGCTTGCAGTCTCTTTACCGTCTAATTAAAATATTTGACAATCTTCCTTTTTGAAATTGGAATAAGAGTAGGATACAGCTTGGTTTCATGCACAGGATCTGGAATGGGGAAAGTAACTATGTTAAACATAAATGCGCAGATATATATACAGCTGCAATCAGCCTGAGTTTTACTCTTTTGGAGGAAACAGATGATGATGCTTTTTCCCCTTTCTAGCGAATGTTACAAAGAGAAAAACTCTAAGAAAGGACTAAATCCTGACTTCAGTAAATTTGGAACCAAATCTCCCACTGACTTCAGGGACTAGATTTATCCCCTAGTTGTTCTTTGTTAAGCTTCTAGGGGAGTCCTTCCATCAAACCTAATAAAATGGACAAATATTTTGTCATTTCAAAGTGGTTGAGAAAACAGAGAGCACATGATAGAGCTGCTTAGTTATTTAGAAGCAAATTAAACAACACAGTATTTCATTTCCCCTCTGAGTAGTTCACTCAGCTGAGCAGTGAACCCAGTCAGCTTCTGGGATCCATTTTTTTATGCTTTCCTAACACTATTTCAGTTGGAAGGGATATCCTCCTCTGAGTTGGTATGAACCACCCATAACCTAAAACAAGTGGGTACAATCCAAAACAGTGCCATGAGTGAGGAGTGTAGTGAGCTCAGGTCTGCACAGAGCTGTGCAGAGCTAAAATGGCTGCTGTAGCATTTGGGCCACCTGCCTGCATGTCAGGACCTTGAGCGTGGGCTCCATCCAGGGAGCTTTTATCACAGCACTTTTACAAGCTGCCAACAGCAAATTCACAGAAGCTAGCAATCTACAGCTTATCAATACAGTGCTGCTTGTCATGCTTAAACCTGGTTTGAGTGAGGGTAGGATAACTACTTTTTTTCTCAACAGCCAGTTTGAGGCTCGTTCAGTCCTTGCATTAATCTCCATTAAATTACAGCATTTCCTGAAATTCCTTGAAACATTTGAATTTTAAATTATGTGTTGCTCTATAATGGATGCCATGGATAGAAATAGCCTGAAAAAAATGCAAACGATGAACAGAAGTTAATTAATCACTAACCCAGCAGATACAGTAATGATGCCCAGCAGCAACTTGCTAGTCATTACAGGGCCTTGTTCGCCTCTGACATGTCAGAGGCTGCAAAGGCCTTTAATAGTTTTGCTCTTATTGTTGGTCAAAACCACAGAAAAGGAAATAAAACTTTGCATGAGTGTTAGCATCAGAACAAAACTAAAATTTCACATTGAAGTTGGAAGTCCAAAACAAACTTATTTAAAACTAAGAGTGGTAGGTAAGCTTTTCCAGAGAAACAATGATGGAGTCTAGAGAGTGCTTCAGTAGATTTGTTTTTCCATGAGGACTCCAGTTAGGGTGGCTGTCTGTATACTGACAATCTGCTCATGATTAATATGCCTGTCGGTGTAAAGGCACAGCTTTTATTAACTCGTCTTTCCAGGAGCTGCTTCTGAGCCTCTTCTTTTTGTTCCACACCTGAAATACATCCTTTCTTTTGTAAAACCGCTACGAGCCACTGCATTAGCAAAGTCTTGTGAATTGCCACTCTTGTGAGCAGAGAGAAACCACAGGTGTCCTCTAAGTTAACTTGGATAATTCTGGGGAGAAGCTATAGTAAAAACCAAGCAAGCAGTATTTACAACATTTGGGGTTGTACCACTGTGGCCATCGAGAGACCAGGATTCACTACTGCATTCTGACATTAACAGCACAGGATGCTTGACTGGGACAAAAAAGACTTTTCTTAATGAATTTAAATTAAACATTTAATTGAGTCCCTGGCCAAATAATACATCCTGCAAGAGACCTGCTAAGGCAGTACACTCAAGAATACCATAGGAACATAGGAAATGTTGGACATTGGCACAGTAGATACATTCAGAAGTGGGATGTTTTGCAATGCTGCCAAACCTGTTAAGAGTGGCTGCCACAGTTGTAACATGATTTTATAGAGGTTCTATTGATGATTCTTGTGCATTCAAATTGTGAAAAAAAAAGTTTCCTTTTTCTAGCAATCAAAATTGAAATCATATTTTGATTTTGATTGGAAATGATGAAGCTGTAGGTAGTTGCTGCTATACTTTCTGTAAGCTAATGGCACTCACTAACATGTTGATAACTAATCATATTAAACATACCATCAATTCACAATACTAGTTTTTGATATGTCACCATTCATGATAAAGCATCTTCAGAAAAAAATAAGGTAAGAAATACTTGCATTTAGCCTCTTTCCTCTAGGGCATGGCAAAGTGTAATGTGAATAAAATTCAAGTAGTGCTTTCAGGATTAAAGCAATGGGAATCAAATTCTTAAAGTTCTGTAGTAAGATTTGATGTCCTCTGGACTGTTGCCTTTCCTGTGAGTTTTGGAAGCATAACATGATCTCATTGAAACAGTTTCCTTTATTACAGTAGGGTAGCAACATCTCTAAATGTTCTTGGTTTTGTTTCCTTCTGCAGAATGGTCTGCCTTCAGAACAAAATCCTTACATCTTTAACGGTGATTTTGTTGACAGAGGGAAAAATTCTATGGAAATTCTTATAATCCTGTTTGCATTTCTTCTTATCTACCCCAATAATTTACATTTGAATAGAGGAAACCATGAAGACTACATCATGAACCTGAGGTAGGTTTTAGGGGGCAGTGAGGGGGGAGTATCTGGCCTTTCACTAGAAACGTTGGAGCTTTTGAATGCTACTTTAGCCACTGTGTCACATTAAAACAGAAATAATGTTTTATTAGGTATTCAGGTGTAGCTTTGCATCTTCAGGATGTGTGAGGTGCGTAAAGAGCATCCTCATTATACACAGGCACTTGAACAGGAGTCATGTCTCTGACCTAATCACAATCCATTGAAGTCAATGGGTTTAGTGCAGCTTCCAGAGTATCAAATTTAGGGTGAATGGAAAGATGATATTTTACTTAAAGCATTGGCTTTTCTATACCATAGCAAAAGATATAGTAATATGCAATACAATGGAACCTGTAAACCAGGAGCTGATATTTCACTTAACTTTAGACTTAGATGTCACTTCCCAAACACAAGGGGTAGGTAAATATCTGCACTTCTACATAGTGGAGGTCCATTAGCTGAGAGGTGCCAGTCTGTCCCATTGCAGGAACAGCTGAGCCCCTGCTTTCTAATATAGACATTGGTATTTGGCTCTACCACAGGAGTGAGCATGGCCAGTGTCTCTGGCTGTAGTGAAAGTGTGACTTGTGGACAAAATTATCTGAATGGGATTAGAACTCCTTAGTGCTATTCTCTGTGTTTTTAAGCTGTCCCAGTAAGCCTCTGGGGGACTGGCTGGTGGGTAAACTGTTGTATCCCTTCTATCATTTGATCTGTGCAGAATATATTGCTGTTTTAACAATAAAATTGCAGAGGCCCATGTTCAAATCCTATTAATGATCCATGTAAGAGAACCAGGTTCACATGGTACCTACTTTTCCAGCACCTAATTAAAAAAAAAAAACCAAAAACAAAAACAAACCCACAACATAAACCAAGATCAGTTACTTTGTCTACAAGGTAGGATAATTCCCCACTCAAAATAACAGAAAATATTAACTAAGTCTGTGATGGTATGGAGTGTGAAGATGTATTACTGTGTATGGGTCTTTGCTGGGCATTTTGCTGTGCTGCACATCAGTAAATTTGAAAGCTGAGCGTTAGAGTGTTGCAAAAATTCCCTTTGCACCAAGGATATTTTGGTGTTAAAAGAATGAGGTATCAAAATCCATGTCCCTTGTGAGGAAAAAGGCATGACAGATTACATCATCTAATAAGGTTGAGTGATTTAGGACAAAAACACCATGGAGTTTTTGTAGGAATTTTTACCTGTTAACAGGTTCCTTGGAATTTCTCTCCAGTATCCAAAAAGTAAAACTGCTAAGCTATTGCATTTAGCTGGGAAAAAAAGCCACTTAATCATTGCTGGTCTGGATTTTGCTCTTGATCACTTGTATATACAAGAAATCAGTTTAATTGAATTCTTGAGAAAGAGCAGAAGAAAGCACATTTTAACTGAGTTAGAATGGCAGGACAAAAAGAAGGCAAGAAAACTCCTGGCAAACACTGTAGCACAGAAAATAATGCAGAAGGACATACTGAAAAGCAGCTCATTATGCTGTCCTATTTTCAGATACGGCTTCACAAAGGAAGTTTCGAGGAAGTACAAGGTAAGAGTCCTCCTCCTTCCCCTATATTTTCTTTACAGGCTTGCACTTGTAAAATAAAAACTGCGTAAACAAGGAAACTTCCAACCAGTTTACTTAAGTGTAGCACTGAATGACTTTAGAAATGGAGTTGGAATTATTTTGGACTATCAGTGGAATAACTGACAAAACAATTTAAAGTGTTAGCCTTCCATGCTCAAAGATCTATGGGATGAAATAAATATCATTAAGGCCACTCAAGAACACAAAAAGAGGTGAAAGTGGAAGAAAACCAAAATGCTACAGAAACAGTTAAGCAGCTCTAAAGTAAATGTTGGAACATGTTTGTTTAACGTTGCATTTCAGAGACTCTCCTGGACGGAACGTTTATATAGACTGTGGCAGACACTTCAGCAAAATCTTGGGCTTAGAAGTAACAGAATCTGCAAGAAATAGGGTCTAATATAAACCTGTGTTTTACAGGACCATGGGGATCAGATTTTGTGTCTTCTGCAAGATGTCTTTAGCTGGCTTCCCCTTGCCACTATAATTAATAACAAAGTTCTTATCCTGCATGGAGGGATTTCAGACACCACAGATTTGGATTTCCTGAATGCACTTCAGAGAAATAAGGTAAAAGATGGTATTCACATGAGGGTAATCTTGTTTTCTTTAAAAAAATAGGAGTACAAATGCTAAGATCAAGTTGTTTGCACTAGGAAAGGAAATGGCTGCTGTGTAAGGTACATAAGGGGGGAAAAAAAAGTCTTATTTTCCTTCTAAATCACTGTTTAGGAAAGAAAGTTTTAGTAGCCCTTGGGAGCCAATTGTTTGGCTGCTGTAAAATAATGTGTCTTTTGACTTTAAAATGTCTAAAACCACTTAAGGTACCTCCTTCCTGCAGTGATGACACATCAGCCAGGAAGTATGAAAAGTACTTAATTCTCAGGCATTTTTAGACACTTCATAAATCAATCTAGCTACATCTTGCTAGCACTGCCTTTGTCCCGCGGCTGTGCTTCTGCCATCTGCTGTGTGTGTGTTTCTCCAGCTGTGAGGCTCTCCTGTGGCAGCAGCTGAGCTTTGCACATGTGGGAAAGCCTTTCCAGGAGGATCAAACATCGAGATGTGGGCTTGAAAAAAACAGACACTACTGCTTTTCAGGGATTTGGAAGAGACAAATGTTGTGTTTTTTTTTTATTTTTATATGGTGAGCAAACAAAGCTCCTTCAAATCAGTGAAAAATGGTGTGGGTCTCAATTTGGACAACTAAATCAAGATGTCTGCTTGTGATGGGGATGCTGAGGCTCCTAATAATCAGTGGACATCCAGGTCTTGTCCTTGCTCAGGCATAGGTCTCCAGCGCTGTTCATGGAAGCACCCTGTAGCCTAGGGATGTCCCTTCCAGCCTTTGCCTGCCTCTGGACAAAACCTTCACAGGTCTCCTCCACCAGTCTCTTGGGTGACATCTGCCTACCTCATGTTAATTCTACATGGTAGAACAACCCAGGTGGCATGAGATACACACATTTAAGTGGTCTTGTGTACTTTGCCATCCATGTCTGTGGAATCAAGAGCTATTTCTCTTATCCTTGTTTTCTAATGCAGAAATAAATGCTTTACAGGACAGTTGGATGTATCTCCGTTTCTTAAAGATGCAAAAAGGCCAATTAATACTTCTGGTCATGGGAGTCTAGACTCTGCTGGCTGTGCTGTTTTACAGTAAAATTGGGTACCTAACTACAGATGGAGGTGTCTTAATTGTGAGCTGGGTTCTGCCCACACTTCCACCAAGGCTGGGCTTAGCATGTTACTGACAGAGTATCTGTGAAAGGCAAAATTAACAAAGTTGCTGTCACAGGAGAGTGTTGCTAATGAGACAAGTGTGGGCCACAACTTGGGGCAATATCACTTTGCCAACTGATGTATTTTAATTAGTACAGCTGGAAACTGACAGGTCTCAAATACTGGTCAGTGCACTGGGGAATAACCCGGTGTTTTGCATTTTGTTTTGCATCAGTCCTTTTCTTTATTAAAGAGTAGAATTTGGGGGAGCACAGGTGTGTGTTTTGTTGTTGGGTTTCTTTTCTTTTGGAAATGAGCTAGTATGAGAAAATCTCAAATGAGAAAAAAAGACAGTCAGGGGAGAGGAGTCTGTATTAACATGCATTCATGGAGCCATATCACACAGCTCCAAAAAAATCAAATGCCCATGCATATTGGAGGAGGTTGATTTAACAGTGAAAGGGCCTGATGAAATACTTCATAAATTTCACTGTTATCCTCCTGATATTCCAGTTAGCTGAATTAATAGCAGCTTGGTATTGTAGCAGAGCAGCAATGAATGCAGTTTCTTCATCAGTACAGTATAGATGTATATTTTCAGTTTCCAGTGACGCTGGGCACTTAAGTTTCCTTCTGGAGCCCACACTGTACTTGCTGTATAGTGAGCCTTTATGATTGACTGTGGCTTGGAATGAGTCTGTGGGTATGAATAAGATTATAAGAACAGCTCTGAAGAGGTTGGTCACTGATAGATAGAAAGCAAAATTTCTGCAAGTGACAAACACCTGTAGCTTTCACCAAACCTGTGAGTTCATGACATTATGAGAGTTCAATACTGAGTACAGAAAACGGGAACTGATGTGCATTTCAGCTAACATGCTTGTATCATCTTTATGTTCTGATAACTCAGTCCAGTTTTTATTATTCTTTTTTAAATAGGTGAAATCTTTGTTGCAGCCTCCGAAGTCAGTAAGACTCAGACAAGACCAAGTGAAGGAGAGCATTCCTACAACCAGACCCAGTGAAAAGATTGCCAGCCAGAATCTTGCACGGAAAACCCAACACATCTCTTCATCAGGCTCCACTAGGCCTTCAGGCTCAAATTTGTCTTCAGACCCTTCTGAGAAGGAATGGAAACAAGTATGTGAAACCAAAGACAGACTGATTCCAAACCCCTCCTGCACAAAGCCAGCAGGTGTTCTATTCAGGCAGTATGTAAGAAACCCATCACTGTTGGGAGTATACTAGCCAGCTATTTGGATGCTTTTTGTAAACCTGATAAGAAAGGCTTGTGCCTCTATACAAGTACAGTTTACCCAGTGTTTTCTTCAGCCATGACGAGGAGGAAACTGCTCAGTCTGAACTGTTTGCATGCCCTCATGTGGTTGGATCTGTTGGCACATACATAGTTGTCAGCTTAAATAGGTCAGACTTTACAACTGTTTGCAATAGCAAGCACCTTTCTTTGGCTGTGGTTTTGGCAGCTAAATGCTGGTTGTGTCCAAAAAAACCCCAACTCCTACAGGCTGATTGCTCAAGAGTGAATAGTTTTTGTCCTCTGGCCTTTCATTTCCTCTTAAATATTAGAGGCAATATGGAGATCTTGTCATACTGTAATTTAATAAATTGTGACAATTTGAAAAGCATAATTTGCACAGCAATTCAGAAGCTCAAATTGAGTTTTATGTTTCTTTTTCTGAGCTTCTCATCAGACAACTGCTTTAAGAGGCAGATAGTTTTCTTTAGCTTCTTGAGAAGCCTATCTGTCTCTGAAAATGTGATTTCCCAGGATACCTATCTGACCTACAAACTAACATAATGGGCACAGGTAATGCCCCCAGATCTGACACTCCCCCAGCTAACCAAGCATTCACCTAGCCATGCACACACAGGTGGAATGTGTTAGTGTAAACCTTATCCAGTGAGGTTTAAACAAACACATTTTGTCTTCTAGAGCAAATGCCACAGACCAGAATTATTTGGTTAGGTAACTTTAAACTATGATAATTCATCCTCATGAATCCTGACATAATAATGTAAAATCCTATTTAGAAATGGAAGCTAACTGAAGACAATAAAGCCAAAGGCAACTCTTGTCATGTTTAGAGCAGGCACTCTCAAGCTTAGTTTAGGTAAAACCACTGACCCCTATGTTTATCAGGTCTGTGAAATAGAAAAGACCCCTCAGGTACATGAGAAGAAGGCAGCTTTTGCTCTCTTTGAAGTACCCTAGGTACTATTCCTGATGTACCAATCTGGGTCTGGAAAATTCAGCTGTAAAGGAGACAGATACATTTCTGAAATGTTATTTCATCTGAAAAAAGTTCATCCAAAATCCAGGTAAAGTTTAAGAAAAGCAGAACTTTCAGCTCAAAAGAATGCCCTACTAAAAGGAAAAAAAGGCCTACTTATTCAACTCAGGTGCGTTTTCTCCCAGTACTTGCAACAGCCACAGCCTGTCATTCCTCTCCTATTAAGTCTTCACTTACTTGCGTATGCCATTTATAGATCCTTGACATTCTCTGGAGTGACCCAAGAAGCCAAAGGGGCTGTACACCAAACAAGAGTCGAGGAGGAGGTTGTTACTTTGGTCCTGATGTCACTGCCAAGCTGTTTAAAAAGTATAATCTGAAGATGCTCATCAGGTCTCATGAATTTAAGCCAGAAGGTTATGATATCAGTCACAATGGGAAGGTAAGATGCTTCCAAATAAAGTAGAATTCTTCTGTGAATTTCACAGGCACATCCACAGTATATTTGTCTGCAAAATGAGTAACTTCTTTAAAATGGGACTGGGGAAATTGTGCACTAGTTAGAACAAATTAGAGTTCTGACACACACAGTTCTTTACAGCTTCAGGAAGTTGGGACTGGCTTTTTACTTGTGTGAAAACAAATGAACATCGACAAAATCCCTGAGGAGAGTTATGTGTAAATACAGTGCAAGAGATGTTTTAAGGCTCTAGAAGCCTTTTAACTTCCTACTTTCTCTTCTGAGCCTGTTTTCTGACATGGCAGCCAGCAAGAATTCTGAAAACCTGGTCTCTCTTAGAATGAGGTTTCTGTTAAATAGCATGTTATACCACACTGCCCCTGAACTGAAGTCTTCCAGTGACAGGCCTATAATACAGGCCTGGATCTCTGACTCAAAAAGTGCAAGCTATTTGGTGAACAACATAGTTGTTGACCTCTGATTTTCTATGTAGATGCTTAATTTTGGGACCTGGATGTTTTTCTAAGATCAGTTTCAGAAATCAGTCTCAAGAGTTGTTCTGGCCAATCCAGTTTCCTTGTTTCCTATGATCAGGTTATCACTATATTTTCTGCCTCTAACTATTACGAAGAGGGGAGCAACCGGGGAGCGTACATCAAACTGAATCCTGAACTGATTCCTCGGTTTGTACAGTATCAAGTCAGCGAGCACACACAGAGGCAGAATCTTCACAATAGGTAAAGTTGTGTGTTGTGTGCAGTGAGTGTGTACTCACTTAGCATGTGAGTACTTGCCACAAATCTATAGCTTGAGTAATTGAATAGGCATCATTTTCCTCGGGTTTCCTTGTAAATTTTACAATTTAAAAATTAATATAGATAGTAGACAAAACATATTCTAAGTGCTCTAATGGGCTTCCTGAGAAGCTCCCAAAGGTAATTAGTCGCAGAAAGTGGTTAGAACAGACAACTGTTAGGGACCATAAAGGGCTGGCGCCTGTCTGTCAGCTCTGCTTTAAGACTGCAGCGTTAATCTGAACAAAGCCTGTTACGAACAGAGCCCAAAAAATTGATCGTGACAGCTCTGCCATGCCTAGCACTGTGGTCAGATTTACCATGCAAAGCATCTTAGAATTACCTGCATAAATGTGATTATCTAAAAAAAGCAGATTATTCCCCCCTCCCCCCCCCCCCGTGTTGTCTTGTAGGATGACCCTAAACATAGTACATGTTAAAGGGTGTAAGAATTCGATTACAAATGCTGCAAAGCATAAAATGCTAGATTTAAATTTTTCAATGACATGCTCTGCACTTTTTCCCTCCTAGGGTGGGTACAATTGAATCATCTGCCTTAAAGTCCTTACGAGAGCAGATTTATGCTTACAAGCCTGAACTTACTAGTGCTTTTGCACAGTATGACCTCAATGGCACAGGTAACACTACCTCTCTGTCCACTTGCCACTATGGGGAACACAATTTCCATCAGCATAGCAGGGGCAGAGGGGACAAACCCCATGGAGAGGGGTCCTGCTTGCCAGTGTAAAGCTGGAGGTTAGCAAGGGGTGGTTGATCTTATGTTCTTCATGACCACAGGGGACAGGTGTTACCAGGTGCTTAGCCCCAGAAAACAACTTGAGGGGCTGAAGCTTTAAGTAGGAAGAAGAAAATGACTGAGCCACATAGGCAAATTATGAAATAGTGTTTGTTGTTGGGCAGTTTGGGCAGGCAAATCCAGATCCAGAAGCTGAAAGGTAATGAACCACCTTCACTCAGGAGCATCCTCAGAAGCTAGAAGATAGGGAACCGGGGTCTCAGGTGAGAGGTAACCAGTCTCCTTCTGAGTCTGGGAGGTATCGGAGGAAAGCTTGCTAACTGGCAGTGCCCCTAGGAGACATATCTGAAAAAAAGTCAGTGGCAAACCAATACATGAACCTTTTATGTAGGAGCAAGGAGTAGATGATTTCTAGCACAGATACAACTTTTTGCTTGTGATGGCTTCTCAGTTGACTGAGTTGTTATCTGTGCCCCTAAAAGGACAATCAGTTACAGGAAGGTACTGCTTCTTTGGCCACTGAACAATTGTTCAATGTTATTTCTGTCTTGTTGGGTTTTCAGCCACGTCTCTCTAGTTGCAGCTCAGCTCAGACCTGAAGTACACTTCGTGACATTATCTGGTTTTCTCAGAAGGTATTAAGACATGCTGGACATCATAATAGCATCAAAATGTTACTCTTCCAACCTTCCAACTTCCAAAAGTTACTCTTCCAAACATCATTAAGGTTGAAAGAGATGTGAGGATATGCCTAGTCCAACCCTGCTGCCGACTGTTATGAGAGGTTTTATCCCAGTGTTACTGAGAAATCGTTTGTGTTTTGCAACTGTTTTTAGAAAGGGCAGAAGGCATGCTGGTGACTTGATGAGCGCTGTGTCATGTACTGCCTGTAACCATGAACTGACCCCCCTTCTGGCAGGCAGGATTTCTGTCCATGACTGGGCTGCTGCAATGGAGTCTGTCCTACAGCTGGGACTGCCTTGGAGGATGCTGCGCTCTCAGTTAGTACAGCTGACCCCACATGGAGAAGTTGATTTCATGTCCTGTTTTTATGATCTGAAAATAAGTCAACCTGTAAAGGAGGTAAGGATGAAAATGCCTCTTAGTAAGGCTTGGAGGAACAGCTTTTGGTGCAGCTTGAGGCACAAGACAGTTGTTTGACCGATTGGGTAGACAGATACAGCTGAAAAGGACGCCAAGTTTCCTTTTATAGTTCCTGGAGGGAAATGAGCACTGCAAGGGTGCAGACCATCATCATTCCCTGCTAAGGTAGATGCTTAAAATAGGTTGGATGAATCACATGCTAGAACTGCTCCTTACTTTCTGTTGATTCTCAAGGGCATTTAGATAACGTAACTGAGATGTGACAAATCCTTCGACTTCCATCTCTCCCTCTTTGAGATGAGCTTTTCAAATGTGCTCCATAGCCAATTCAGGCACCTGTCACATTTGGGAGGGAGTCACATTTGTAGATGGCCTTTTAGAGTTTTAATGGCAGGTGAGGTCTCTTTTACAGAGTCCAGCTGTTACCAAGTGGCTGCACAGTGCTGATAGCCAGTGCCATCATTTTTCTAAGCAGCAGGATCCATTCACATATGTACAACAAAACCTTTGTACAAGCTCATGGCATGAAGCATTTTCCCTATATGATCCACATTTCCACAAATATGGGCCGGCAGTGTGCGCTCGCAGCCCAGAAAGCCAACCGTATCCTGGGCTGCATCAAAAGGAGCGTGACCAGCAGGTCAAAGGAGGTGATCCTGCCCCTCTGTTCTCATGAGACCTCAGCTGGAGTATTGTGTGCAGTTCTGGTGTCCTCAACATAAAAAGGACATGGAACTGTTGGAACAAGTCCAGAGAAGGGCCACGAGGATGATCAGGGGACTGGAGCACCTGCCATATGAAGACAGGCTGAGAAAGTTGGGCCTGTTCAGCCTGGAGAAGAGAAGGCTGCGTGGAGACCCCATAGCAGCCTTCCAGTATCTGAAGGGGGCCTATAGGGATGCTGGAGAGGGACTCTTCATTAGGGACTGTAGTGACAGGACAAGGGGTAACGGGTTAAAACTTAAACAGGGGAAGTTTAGGTTGGATATAAGAAGGAAATTCTTTCCTGTTAGGGTGGTGAGGCACTGGAATGGGTTGCCCAGGGAGGTTGTGAATGCTCCATCCCTGGCAGTGTTCAAGGCCAGGTTGGACGAGGCCCTGGGTGATATGATTTAGCGTAATGTGTCCCTGCCCACGGCAGGGGGGTTGGAACTAGATGATCTTAAGGTCCTTTCCAACCCTAACTATTCTATGATTCTATAAATAATTATGGAAGGTAGGAGGTGTGAAGGGCTCCTTCCCCCCCTGCCCTGCCGTCTGAAAGTGCCAGATTTTAGCTCATTTTTCCTTGGGGCAAGGCACAAAGTATCATTCCGGGGAATTCAAGCATAAGGATTGTGGTTTATTTTGAACATTTGATAAGTTAAACTGGGAAGACAGAATTGGCTAATACATATTCTGTTGGTTAGACTAACTTGAACCAAAGTCTCAATTGTTTCCTGTATGTGATTTCAAACCCAGGTTCAGCCAGCTTTGGTGGAGACACTGTGCAGATACAGAAAGGATCTGGAGCTCATCTTTAATATAATTGACAAAGATCACTCAGGTAGGTCTAGGCAGCCTCACTGCACCAGTTCTAGAAACCCTGTACCAGTTACTTTTCCCCACTGTGTCTCCTCCTCAAGACTTCCAAATATAGAGGAACCAGAGCTGATGTCATTTTTCTAGTTCAGTGAAGACTAATTTAAGCAGTCAGGCTGTAACCATATAAGGGACAGGGCACAGAGCCCAGCTTGGGTAAAAAATTCTCACAGAGCCCATCTCCAGTACTGGCTTGGCTCTTTCCGGAGGCTTTTTCTCCTTTCCACTCTCAGTATCTCACATTCTCAAATCCACTGCTGAAAGCATTAGATAATTACCTGAAGTAAAAATGTACTTCAGTTATGAAATCAAAACATATACCCAATCCATGGTAGGCAAGTAACTTCTTTGCAGCAAAGGTGTGTGCATGCATCCTTTTGTGAATGCAGGGAGGAGAAACAGCACTGGAGAAAGCAACCTTCTGCCTGTCTCCTTTAGGTCTGATTTCCCTTGAGGAGTTTCGCCACACATGGAAACTCTTCACTTCTCACCTGGGCATTGACGTAACTGATGAATCCCTTGGCAAGTTAGTCCTCAGCATAGACTACAACAAAGATGGCTACATTGACTTCAGTGAGTTTTTAGAGGCCTTTCACGTGGTTCATAGACTAGAGAGAAAGGCAAACTCATGAAAAAGCAGATCTTGTGGGCTACCATAGCAGCTCACACTCCCACTGAAATCATAAGCAGTCTGGGAGACTGGCAATAAATTGGCTCAGTATGGTATTCCTGGCCGTCACTGTGTAAGCATTTCTTTTGTCCTTTTTGGGTGATGTACAGCTGATAGTAATGAGACCGAGATGAAAAGCCACTGCTTATGGTATTACTGTGTCACAGCCACATGAGTATCTTTACAACTTATCCTCCCCCTTGGTGGCATCTCCCCCATCAGTCTAAGCCATGAACACTGCCATGGGTCCACCTTCAGTCCCATGAGAAGAGAAACTTGGGCATGTTTCTGACAGCAGCCCTTAGCAATGGCTGAGGAACAGCACTGGTGCCACAAGGAACATATCACAGCCTCCCTGGTGATACCACAAGCACAACAGAGGAAAACAAGGCAGAATCACCATATAGTTAAAATAAGCAGTTTTACTTTTAATCCTGCTCCTTGTGTGACACAGTGGAATTACAACAGTCCAAGTCACTACCTACCTTCCTTCTTAGAGTTTACAGGCACAACTCAGAAGATCTTATCTGAATGGTGTTTACTCTTGTGCGAGGTTTCCTCTTGCCACTGGTTACCTTTCCCTTCATTTCTTGGCATTTGGAGCTAAGCAACAATCATAACTTGTCACCCCAACAGAGGCCAAAGCCTCAGCATGCTCATGTCACCCATGACAGATCACTAAATAAACTCTGACCTTCACAGTAACATTTAAGTGTGGCGTCTTTTTGCCTATATTTTGGAATCCTGCACACATCTGAATACAACACACTCTTCCTAAAGATGAACTGTACATCTTTGAAACAAAGAAATTAACAAGAACCCCAAGTAAACACATTTTGAAGCTACCACGCCTAAATATTCTTGCATATAGTTAAGCATAAATGCTTTACCAAGTAAACTGATAAATTCTGAAACCGAATGTTGGGAACACAGCAAGATGGAAGCTGGGCTGCCAGCCAATACTCCTGTTCCTACCAGTCCTATCCACCTGCCCAGAGAGGAGAGTGGAGAGATCTGGATCTCTTGCATGTCCCAGTTGGAAAGAAACAACACATGGACATGAGGTGAAGCGTGGCCAGGTCAGGCACTTTCTGAAAACAGCATTATCTAATTCAGCCTTAGTACATCCAGTGTGCCCGAAGTGCTTTTTTGGGTAGGGAAAGGTTCCAGCCCAGGCTCTCTTTAGATTTTCATGGTGCAAGACAGGCTAGGCTTTACTTAATCACAGTCCGGAAAGTACAAAACAAAGCACCCATCCCAGTTCATCATCCCAGGATGTAACAGCAGCCTAAGCTGAGGGCACTGCTCTCTTCCTTATGTCTTGCTGTCTACAGTAACTTGATAGATTAATGAACAAGCATGCACACATGTAATTCTACTGCCCAGGGGAGGGGGGAAAGAAGAATCTTCAATAGTGCAAACAAAAGTTACAGTACATTTTAATGGTTGGTAATACTGTTCAATTTGAGCACACATTGACTGTTAGCTATGTTTCATGAGGGTCAGTCCCACCTTACTCCTGTGGAGCAACAAAAAAGGCTCCACCCCTGATAAACACCACCATATGTGGTGGGATCTTGCCTCCAACCCTGGTTTCCCTGGGACAAGGTGGAAAGGGACAGTGCAGCCCTGCACTCTGCCTTTGCGACCAGCCCCTCCACTGTGTGCTCTGAGTCAGTCACAGTTACTATTGCGGGCAGTGCCCCGATGAGCCCCAGGGCTGCCTGCAGGCCTGTCTGGCCACCCCCTGAGCTGGGCAGGGGTTGGAACTAGGTAATCTTTAAGGTCTTTTCCAACCCAAACCATTCTGTGATTCTATAAAACAGCTTAGGGCAGCAGTGCCGCTCAGACTGGAAAGACGCAGTCTCAGGTTGGTGTATTTTAATTCATTGCTGCCCTTGATTCTGAGGCATGGGATGTTTGTTTGCCTTTGCCTCTTTTCCATAATGAGTTTCCAGGGACCTGAAGCTGGCTGTGTCATTTTCTACTGCTCCCCTGGAAAGCCTAACAGCCACATTGAGCCTCTGCCAGTGAGCTCAGCTCCACACAAATGGCAAAGGCATCATGTATTTTAACTGGGAGCACACCCTTGCCGCACCAATGCTCGCTCTACTTTGCGAGAGCTTAACTCCTACCCCCTCCAGGTGGGTCCTCAGTGAAGCAGGGAGTCTATATAAAAACTTATTTGCTTAATTAGGTTTGCACTAAAATGCAACTCTCCAACTGGAATGGTTCTTTGGTCTGAATAGTAATGCAGCAGCAAGTTGGAGCTGTGCCTAAACTGCAAGTAACACAAGTTTTCCTTCCATTGGCCTTTTGTTTCAGAATCCCACCCTTCACCATCAGGTACCTGAATTCAAATTGCCACCGAAATACTTTCCAGGTGCCTGCAGCCCATGATCAAAAATATACCAAACTCCTGGTCATAACTGTGATTTTCAAATTAAAATACAATGATTCTCCCATTGATAAAACAAGTGCTAAGGGGGGCTCAGCTACGTTTGCCCATAGGCTTACCCAATGTGTTAGACTTCAGTGCTGCTGCCTGTAGAACCAGCTACACTGCCCTTCATGTTTCTGATAACAAAATCACACTGCAGGTAAAAGAGAAAAAAAAAAAAAGGTAGTCTGAGGGAAAAGTCATCCTGCATCTTCGAAAACCTAGGATTCAACAGGAAAAGCAAAACCAGCTGCTACTACTGACTTTTTGTATGATACGAGATAGAACAAGAAACCATCACACAGGCTTTTGTGTGCTCATGCTCTACACTGCCGTATCTGACTGCTTAAAACTAGACAAAGGACTTTTCTTTCATTTACCTAGAAACAAGCTTTAAGTGATCTCTCACAATATATATGAAAACAAAAAAAGAAGACAATAAAACAAACCATTATGAAGGCAAATCCCTGCACAACAGGCACTGTGCCAATGACTTCCACATCCAAGTGCTAATTGTACCTGAGCTGCACCTTTGCTCCAGCTCCTCAACAGGTGCACGCTTTTCATGGTGGCTGACACAGGACAGGCCTCTCTCAGGGCATCCAGCCCAAGGGCCCCCAGGCTCCTGGGCTGCAAAACTCTCCTGCTCCCTGAAAAAAAACCACAGAATCACCTCCTAAAGCCTCCCACACCTTTGCTCTCCTTAAGCCAGTGTCCAGCCGTTGCTACAAGCAGCAGTGACTCTGCAGAGGGACAGCAGGCAGGGTACTGTGGCTGTCACGAGTGCAGCCTCCCTGGGACCGTGGATGCTGGCAAGTGAGGTTTACTTCTCTGCTTTCATCAAGGTATTTCAGATATCTGTGTAAAACTGGAACCAAAAATCTCATTCTCAAAAGCACCATGTACTTTCGTTACAGAAAAAAAGGTTTCTAAATCCTATTAAAATGGCATAGTTATGTTTTGAAAGAGTGGAGGGAGTCTCATGGAAATACGTTTATTATTAGTACAGAAAGCACTTTTTACAGGCCACATCTGTTCTTTTACACTCTCCCTGGCAAGACAGAATCACTTTGATCCTCTCTGCTGACAGGGTGGCAGTGCCAGCACACCTCCACACTGCTGAGGGAGGCTACAGCTACAGGTGCTTTCCAAAGCTGTCAGCCGGATGCATGCTGGCTGATGGCACCTGGGGTACAGCAGGGTTTTCCCCTCCAGAAGCAGCCTACCTCTGTTGTCAGATGAAATGACCACAGAGCCATTTCCCTGCAGGACACACTTATTCTTCAGAAACTGGTTTCCAGTGGATAGATTGAAGGAGCAGGCACTAACATGGGAGATGTCTGAAGAAAGAGTTCAAGGCAGCCCAGCCCTAACTGCATGTGACAAGTACAACTTCAAATTAAAACAAAAAAAATAACCCCCCAAAAAATAATGACAACAAACAAAAAAACCTCCAAAACAAACAAAACCCCACACCAAAACAACACCGCCCCCCAAAAAAAAACCCAGAACCCAAACCAAACCAAAACCAACCAACCAAACAAAAAACAAACAAACAAAAAAAAACAAAAAGAAGAGAAACATCAAAGTCTTCCATAAATTCCAGCTGTGCTGGAAGGGTGGCAATTCTGGCATTCCTAACTCTGAGGCTATTTGCAAGGGAAAGGACCAGTGGACTTGGAAAGGGTGCTGGAGTGGAAGAGGTTTATCTTGCTCCATTCAGAGGAAAGGATTACAGGCATAAAACTCTCTGTCACCTTGTAGAATCTGGAGACTTGAGATTTTGCCTCCAAAGCCTCAGGGATGCAGGGAAAGAAGCTGTTTGGCTCAGATTAAAGACAGATGCAGCTCCCTGAAAGAGGCCATCCTCTTAAATCAGTGGCTATTGCAAGACATTTGTATCTGCCAGTGTTAGCACTGTATTGACTGGGTGCAAATGAGACGAGAATCAGAATAAATGTGTATTAGAAATATCACCTGGTTATTACAAGTTAGTCATAGGCCTCCAATTTACATTTCCCTGGGTGTTTCACACTGTGCATTAGTGATTCACAATGATGTACATTTACACGCAGCAGGAAAAAAATTAATGAATTCCATCACTTCCCTTATTTGGGAGACTTTATACCCGAGCTACAGCTCCTTCCTTTTATTATGCCTTAGGATCTCCACAGTGTAACCTGTTTTCCCCTTGGCAGAATTCTCTAATTTTTGCTAATTTAATATGAATTACATTGATGCACTTTGGGCAGAATAAGCCTTAGTATTTGTTATTTCCCACCCACCCCCCTAAACCGAGGCCACATCCCACCTACCTGTCCCCTGCAGGGAGGCATGCACATAGCATGACAACCAGTGTGAAATGCTGAGGTAGTGCACGGCACACAAACATGCAGCAACTAAACCAGAAGTTCATGACAGTGAAAGAGGGAGAAGGAGCTGCTGAGCCTTCCCTCCTGCATAAGGCATTGCTTACTGCATCGCACAGCCTGTGCTGGGCAGGAAATCATGTAAATAAATAATTATGGCTTTTGTTAGGTACGTCATGGTGCCATAGGCCCCGCTTGGAGCACTGTCATAAAAAAAGTGGCAAATTCCTGTGGCTACATCTTTCTCCAAGATACTACCAGTAGCTCCGAAGGATTTCTGAAAAGACAAGCAAAAGAGGAGGGAATGTTAGGTGTGCATGCTTATTTACTGGAAAAACCCCACCAAACTATGATTTTGCATTTGTGTGGAATACTGAAAGCAATTCTCCTTTCCCTCATGAAAACCTTAATGAGGGTTATTATAGGACCCACATGACTTTTAATTGGATAAGTGGAAGTAAATGAGGAACATGTAACAGCTGAGATTTTTGTCTTTGTGGGGGGAATACTCACATATTGGTAATTCTGATGCCTTGGTAAAGCAAAACCTCACTTCAGTCTACCCACTTACTTCAGAGCTTGTTAGCCACTATAATTTCATTCCATTTGAATCTCCCACAACTCTTAAATTAGTGTTCTAAACATATTTCCAGAAGACACATCAGTGATTCAGTCTGTCTTTGTAAGGGGAAGAATACCCTGGATTTGGAGAAGGCTGAGGTTCTTAATGACTCCTTTGCCTCAGTCTTCCCTGGCAAAGGCTCTGACCGCACTACCCAAGTCTTGGAAGGCAGACGAAAGGACTGTGAGAATGAAGACCTTGGGCCCACTGTAGGAGAGGAACTGGTTTGAGACCATCTTAAAAACCTGAACGTGCACAAGTCCATGGGACCTGATGAAATCCATCTGTGGGTCCTGAAGGAGCTGGGGAATGAAGTTGCTAAGCCACTGTCCATCATATTTGAAAAATCATGGCAGTCAGGTGAAGTTCCCGATGACTGGAAAAAGGGAAATATAACCCCCATTTTCAAGAAAGGGAAAATGGATGACCTGGGGAATTACAGACCAGTCAGTCTCACCTCTGTGCCTGGCAAAATCTTAGAGCAGATTCTCCTGGAAGGCATGCTAAGGCACGTTTAAAACAACGAGGTGCTTGGTGACAGCCAGCATGGCTTCACTAAGGGGAAATCCTGCCTGACCAATTTGGTGGCCTTCTATGATGGGGCTACAGAACTGATGGACAGGGGTAGAGCAATTGATGTCATCTACCTGGACTTGTGCAAAGCGTTCGACACTGTCCCACACAACATCCTTGTCTCTAAATTGGAGAGACATCAATTTGATGGATGGACCACTTGGTGGATAAAGAACTGGCTGGATGGCCGCACACAAAGAGTTGTGGCCAATGGCTCAATGTCCGGCTGGAGACCAGCAATGAGTGGTGTCCCTCAGGGATCGGTGTTGGGACTGGTCTTGTTCAACATCTTCGTCGCTGACATGGACAGTGGGATTGAGTGCGCCCTCAGCAAGTTTGCTGATGACACCAAGCTGTGTGGTTCGGTTGATACCCTGGAGGGAAGGAATGCCATCCAGAGGGACCTCGACACGCTTGTGAGGTGGGCTGATGCCAACCTCATGGAGTTTAACCATGCCAAGTGCAAGGTCTTACACCTGGGTCGGAGCAATCCCAGGCACAGCTACAGGCCGGGCAGAGAAGAGATTCAGAGCAGCCCTGTGGAGAAGGACTTGGGGGTGTTGGTCAATGAGAAAATGAACATGAGCCGGCTTCAGTGTGTGCTCACAGCCCAGAAAGCCAACCGTGTCCTGGGCTGCATCAAAAGGAGCGTGACCAGCAGGTCAAAGGAGGTGATCCTGCCCTTCTGCTCTCATGAGACCTCAGCTGGAGTATTGTGTGCAGTTCTGGTGTCCTCAACATAAAAAGGACATGGAACTGTTGGAACAAGTCCAGACGAAGGCCACGAAGATGATCATGGGACTGGAGCACCTCCCGTATGAAGATAGGCTGAGAAAGTTGGGGCTGTTCAGCCTGGGAAATGGAAGGCTGCATGTAGACCTCATAGCAGCCTTCCAGTATCTGAAGGGAGGCTATAGGGATGCTGGGGAGGGACTCTTCATTATGGACTGTAGTGATAGGACAAGCGGTAACAAGTTCAAACTTAAACAGGGGAAGTTTAGATTGGAAATAAGGAAGAAGTTCTTTACTGTGAGGGTGGTGAGGCACTGGCATGGGTTGCCAAGGGAAGTTGTGAATGCTCCATCCCTGGCAGTGTTCAAGGCCAGGCTGGACAGAGGCCTGGGTGACATGGTTTAGTGTGAGGTGTCCCTGCCCATTGCAGGGGGATTGGAACTAGATGATCTTAAGGTCCTTTCCAACCCTAACTACTCTACGATTCTATTCTATGATTCTATAATATGGGTAAGGTCAAGCTCACCACACACATTAAAAAGGGAGCAGAGGACAATTTTCAAACACGGAGGCTTCACACCACTGCCCTCTGAACTCACCAGCTCCTGCAGAAAGAGGTCATTGGCCATGTGCACGATTCGGTCCACACAGATGATACCCCCAATGCTGTTCACCTCGACGTCGGAGAGGAACGTGAGAACAAGGATGGCTTCCACCAGGAGCTGCCTGTACTCAGGCTGGGGTACATGGTTCAGCACTGACTCCACGTGCACAGCAAACTTGATTTCACACGGTGTCATCTAGCAAGTTTGAGTGGAAATGGGAAGAAAAACTGGTAAATCCCAAAGCCTGGCTCATCATACCCTGCAAGCACTGAAACATAGGCTCCTCTTTGCACATGAGGGTAGGCTGGCCAAAGTGAACAAAATGTTTGTGTGCCTTTAGCACTTACAGAAGCATTTCATGTTGCTAGGCCCTGCAAAGAGTTAAGCAACTTCCAGAAGACTCTTCCAGCCCTGCAACCAATCACACACACTTTTTAGTTACACACAGGAAGGCGGATGCTTAGCTAGCAAATTAACTCTTTGCTCCTCATGCTGCGGTCTGACGCACTCTGCCTTGTAAGTATATTTCTGGCATCGCAGGTTAGTTGCAAAGTCAAAAATCACTGCTGAGTTTTAAAAATAACCACCTGAATGCTTTTCCACACAGGTGTAGCTGTATTGTCTGCAGAGCAGCTTCATTTGCACTGGCATTGCTCTATGGGTGAATGTGAAAGGCTGCTGCCTTAGGAGGTTTGTCCTTGTTCATTTAAATAGCAAAACTAGACACTGTCAAGGTCCAACAGGCTAAAATATAAGGCTAAAAATATAAGCCCATTTATCTACACAATAGGGATAAATAAAGCTCTCCATTATGAAAAAAAAAAAGAAGTGTAAATTTGGCAGAAAATTCCAGTTTCTCTTGTCAGCTTTCACCACTGTTCCTCAGACAAAAAAGTAACCCAGAGACAAATCTGAGGGAACCAGACAGAAAACCAGTCTCAGGCACACAAGCACGGCTTCTGCACTGATAGATTACTGTTCCAAGGAGTTGTTTTACAACTGTAAATTCAAAACTTGCCAGAGTGCCTAAAGACAGAGTGGCAATCCAACTAAGGAAAAAAAAAATGTAAGGAAATGTTACGGATTTAAAGAGTCAAAGCTTTGGTTAGAAACAATCATTCTAAACTGATACTTACTTTTGAGACTGTGATGCCAAAATATACTGGCTGCTGTTGCAGCATATTAAAAAGTGGCAAGCAAGGGGTCTGCCTAATTCTAGCCAGGCTGTGGCTTCCCCTCAGCCTGCCCGAAGGACAGTCATCAGCCACACTCTTTCAAGCACTGCCCTGTGAGCTCCCAGGGTCAGGGAAGGTGTGCGGAGAGCAGGCTAAGCAAAGGGGAAGCTTGCCACTCCCAGGCCTGCCTGGCAGGAACTCAGCTGCAGAGCTCCGGGGAAGTGGGTGGAGGTTCTGGAGGAAGGCCCCAATCTTATAACCTTCCTAAAACCAAGGATCTGCAAGAGCAGCCGCACTGCACCTTGCAATGTCAAACCAAACCTTTCAGGCAGGGGGCTAGAAAATCGCTGGCATTTCACTGTACCTCTCTGGTAGTTGAAGAAGGAAGGACATACCCATCAATGGACAGACCGTGGCACTGAAACAACATTTTGACAATGATCAGAAATTACAGTTCTTGCCAGTAAATCTGAGGCTTCTCTGCACTAAGACGGCATGCGCCAACTTTCAGTTAAAAAAACCCCAAAACAACCCAACCCCCCCAAACAGAACCAACAAAATCTGCTTAAAATATTATTTCACCTTTGGTGAAGGAAGTTATTATATAACCTGGCAAACATTAAAAATAGTCTGACATGACATTGTAGAGAGCGTGCTGTGCTCCAGTCCAGCTAAGCTACTGAAGGGGAGGAAAGTACTTGGAGAGCCACTACAGCAAGAGGCACACAAAGGAGGGAAACAGATCAGTGAGAACATTCTGTGGGAAAGGATGTAGAAATAAAAGGTAATGCGAAAGCATGACAACAGACCACTGAAGGGAGAACCTTTATTTTTCAGTTTCACTAAAACAACTTTTAGTTAAGTGTTTCAGATCCAGGGCAGTGCATCTCAAGGATGTCAACATGTTGAGGTGCTTGGACACAGGCCACCAACAGTGGGGGAGAGGTGGGGTTAGAAATATGAAGTTGTACACGAGGAAAGAGTGACAAAATCTAACTGGTGAGAAGGCAGGCTGAGCAGTGACACATCTGGGTACCTGAGGTACAAAAACACACCCAGAAGAGAGAGGTTTTATCAATGCTCCGAAGAGTTTAAGGATGAAATACTGAAGATAAATAAGCACAACTGATTTCAATAGCCAGAAAAAACATTGAGATACTCCCAGCTATTGTATTAGGTCAGGACAGAAGTGATGCTCACTCTACTGAAAGATCCCATTAGTAAATAGCCGCAGGGTCATATATGACTCATCTTGGCTGACATCAACACTAACAGCTTAAGGATAAGTGATTTCAGAAGGATAACCAAAATCAACCCAAGCTGGTGATGCACATTTTCCCCAAAGTGTGGGCATGAACTGCTCAGTGCTGCAAGGTGCTCAGAGCTGGCTTTCATCCAGCACAGCTGAACACCAGCATAATCACTCTGAAATGAGTAAAAACTTGTAATTCCTATCAAGTCCTTCCTGGAGAGCTGCTTCAACACATTTCCATGCCCCTGGTCTCCAAAGGCTGGCAAGGACTTATTTTCACTTTAAAAACCCCAAACAAGAAAAAAAACCCCAACCTGTTAAGAATGCCATACAGCTCAGAAGGGCCAGCAAGAGATCTTGAGACATTCTGAAAGAGTCAGTAGTTTCCTACTTCACTCCTTGCAGCCCTTCTGAACTGGAGTGCAGGAACCACACTGCCCTGCAGTGCCCCACAGCCCTGACCACAACTTGCATTAGGCCACGGGTGATGGAAAACAGACAGTGGTGGAACAGAATCATTCAGGTGAAATTCAAGCGCCAGTGATTTCAGAGAAAAAACACAATTCCAAACAAACATGTGAACTTGTGGAAACGGAACCCTTCTATGCTTGAGAGACACACTCCTACTAGTGACTAGTTTCCACCAGTTTTCCAGCTGAAGACCAACTTCAACTCCCAGCAACATGCCACCTCTGGACTACCATCTTCCCAAACTACCATACAGCTTGCTTGCTTCCTGTCCTTCCCAGCTGCCAGCTTACCTTCTGAAGAATTTTCCACACTTTCTCATAAAAGCCAACAGGAACCCTGTTAATAGCACCATCAAGCCTCCTTCTGCGCAGCCACTGCCCTTTTCTGTCACCCCAGCTCATGTCTCCACTGGAGCCAGCAGGAGAAGCACTAGTGGGAGATGACGGAGTACTGCTCCTCTGTAAGAAACATTAAAGCCTTGGTTAGTTGCCTTCTACCACCCGAAGTGCTACTGCTGGTGAATGTATCATTCTGTTGCAATGCTACCTCAGAAGAAGGGAAAAAATACATGCTATCATATCACACAAAGTGATGGAGCAGGATTGATCCCTTCCTCTCCCCTTCACATGCTTCACTTCCCCAATAATTCGATCATTTCTCAACTAAACAGGCAAGCAGTTCAACAAGACATGACCCAGTAAACTTCACTGCTTTGCTCAGCACAAGGCCTGACTATTTTAACAGCATAAGCTGGCTGTCAGGGCAGTGTCACTGGTGTGCAAGATGGTGGGATTTGCAGGAAGGCTGGACTCACTTGGATTTGTAAGAGAACCAAAGGGTCTGTGACTCCAGCAAGAGAGGTCCTCCATGTAAAAAGTTCCATTCAAGTAAGCAGACTAAAAACTAACTTAGTGTGGTCATGTAATCATCATGCCTGCCTCCCTCTAAGTATCAGTCTTGTTACCTTTATTGTCACTACTGCTCTATTATTTTACTCTACCAGACTTTGGCACTGAATTAGGCAGTAAATCACCTTCAAAATTGTGGCACCACCACCAAATTCTTGTTTCCATTCCCACACATTCAGTTTGCCTACTTTTTGCACTCCCAGAGACTGCACTCTTCTGCTTCCATGTTCCTTTTTGCACACCTATTACTTTCAGCCCAGAAAGGACTTCACTGACAGCCCTGTCTCAAATCTCATCATTTCTGAGTAAGAAACCACCTCAGCAAAGTACTAGGAAGAAGGAAAATAAACTGAAAACTGCATGTTTGTGAAGGGTAGGCTCACTGATTCTGCACAGATGAGCTCTGCAGAAAGACCAGCAAGTAAGAACACAACTGGTATCAGTGAGGCATAGGTGGTGTCCCCTTGATGTTTTGATGCTTGCCATTCTTTTCTGGTGCACACTGGCCAAGACAGAACTTCCTCCATTCTGCTAAGCAGGTCAGCAGGGGCAGGTGATGCCAAAGCAAAGAAATCCATCTGCATAAAATAATTAATCTGGCTACTCAGGTGGTTCAGAGAAGCAAAGGTCTCATTAAACAATTCTGTGCACCTGAACCAAACACACAGCTGAAGCCTGCCTTTCTGCACTGGTATGCGAGAAGAGAGATGGAACAGCAAGCACCCTGGCAGGTGTCAGGCCAGGCCACAAGGCTAGTGGTGCTCTGCAGCTGTGTATTTAAGACACTTCGGAGGTGTCCACACAGCAAGTCTGGAGATACAGAGAGCCATGATCCACAATCACCTGTTCAAAGTGCACACATAGCTGCAAACTTTCTAATTCTATGTGACGGATTTAGAACCTGAGACTTACTTTAAATTGTCAAGGTATCCATTGGTAAAATATTGAAACAATTATCTTCCTTAACAGCAAGAGCTTAAGACGAGCTACACTTCACTGCCTTCAAAGAAGACGACTTGCATGAGGAGATACCCAGGACCATAAAAACCCTGTCTCAGCAACATGAAGCTACTGTGGGTTCCTTTCTCCTCGGAGACTGCCAGCATTTATCAGAGCTACATTACTTTAAAATACTGATGACACCTGTAACATTATCCACCATCAAGTAGCTAAATCTGCTATAGTGCTTTATCTGCTACAACTTAAGCTTCAAAAGAACTAAGTGGATCTAAATACAAGGCTCAACTTCTATTAAAAGATTAGCAATGAGAATTGGTTCCCAATGAAGATGGACAAGACAAAGAGGTAGGGTTTGAAAACAAGTTTTTTATGCAGGAGAGGTCACATGGCTAAGAGAGGTCTATGGCTAAGAGCCTTGCACACACGCACAGGGTGAGGAGCAGCGGCAGAGCTGCAGATGGGGTTTTACCATGGAAGTAAACATGCTGCTGGACATGGAGCGGCCCTCATGAAAAAACTACAAAAGAAAGCCAGACACCAACACATAGATAGGCAGCTGGGACAGAACAGGAGGCAAACAAGGTTAAGTAACCCACATGTGTGAAGACAAGAAACAGGGAATAAGCTTGGGTACTCAGAGGAAAGAAAGGTCACCTTGCTGCAGAAAGTCTGTGGGCTGCCAGCTGGGTGAGCAGCACTAAACAAACAGCTGCAAGGCAAAAATTCTGCTGAAATGTGAATGCAGCACCTCAGAATTGCAGCATTTTTCTGTAACTGTCCACCCCAAACCAGTGTTAATGGTTCAGGCCCAGGCAAAGGCTTGATGTTCAGAGGTGTTACTACAGGTGCTTGAAAATGTTCCTTGTAACACAGAGTTGATCCCCCCACAGCCAAGATGACAATGAATTAGTACCTAGAGCATTACTCAGAGAATGCAATGAGATGTGGCAGAAAGCAGCATGAATGGCAAGGTGAGGGAAATAAAAATAAAACCAGCCAACTCCTCTTCTGTTCAAAACACCAGGTTTCTATCGAATGCAAAAGCAATACAGGAACTGCATTTCCAACCTCAATAAAGGTCCGAATACTTCAGCTCAGGCCCACCTCTGTATTTAAAATAATGCTGCCACCTAGCGCCTAGTCCCTCTTCCTTCCTGGAAAGGCCTTCAAGTCAGGCACCTGCCTTAGGGCTTCAAGCCCTGCTCAGGCTGAACCCCCAAAGTCACTTCAGGGCCAGTGGAAAGCAGCTACAGCTATCAGCACCTTCACAGCCATACCACGACACTTGACCACGGCATGGCTCAAACACAGGTGCCTTTGCTTCACCGCCTTACCATGTCCTATGAAGAATCCTTAACAGATCTTTACTGTCACCATCAAATGCTCTGGGTCCAGACCATGCAGAAATGCCACTCCTTTCAGAAGGCTTCCTGATCAAATATGTTTCATACAATCAAAGGAAAACATCAAATACCTCCTTAGCAACCTACAGGAATGGTCTCAGATTAAATGAAACAGGCTTGCTTGTTAAGAGGGCCTTTAAAAAATAGGTTTCTAATACAGAATGATTTGCACTGGAAGGGAACTTTGAAAAATCATCTAGTCCGTGCAACCAGTGAGGACACCTTCCACTAGACCAGGCTTCTCAAAGCACCATCCAACCTGATCTTGAACACTGCCAGGGATGGAGCATCCACAGCTTCTTTGGGGAACCTGTTCCAGTTTCTCACCACCTTCATAATAAAAAAAATGTGCTCCTTGTGTCTATTCTAAACCTGTCCGCTTTCAGTTTAAAACCATTGCCCCTTCTCCTATCACTAAAGGCCCTTGTAAAGAGCATCTCCTCATCTTTCTTATAAGCCCCCTTTATATATTGAAAGGCTGCAACAAGGTCCTCCTGGACCTTATCTTCTCCAGCTGAATAAGCCAAGCTTGAAAAAATAGAACCACTCTTATAAATGTATTTTATTTGACCACTACCTTCCTATTTGTCTAGAGGAAAAGAAGTAACAGTAGAGGGAAAGAGATAATAGTAGAGACACAAAATAGAGAAATCAAAGCCATCAAGAGTTCTTTTCAAAGTGTCTCTTTTCCACAAGGAATGTGGACCACTTCAGCAACTGGGGCAGAGTACAAGAATGAACATCTGACTTTTCCTTAGCTAAAGATAAGTAAGAGCTCATTTTAAACTTGGTATTATGACTGCAATTGAGTTTGTTCATGTTCTATACTCAGCATATGAAACAAGAACAGAAAAGAAAGCACATTTTTGGAGGAAACATCCCTTACTGTCTTCTATTTAATGATCAGCTTTAAATCAAAGGATCTTTTGAAAATTTTGTCCTTTACCAAGAACAAAACATAACATAGCTGCATTTTCGGATGAGCATTGACAGAAAATCCTCACCTGCGTCATCTCACTCTTCAATTTAGTAATACCACTTCTTTCTGTTTTGGTTGCTCCAGAATGCCCCATTTCATGAATAGAAATTGAAGGGCTGGATGAAGAGGAATCTCCAGGTCGCACTAAAAGAAGCAAATGGACATTTTTTAAATTCTAGGGGCAGAAAAACAGATGACATTGTATCTAGAGCTAAAGATCCACACTGTGATATCAGTACCTGATTTTCCAAGACATAGAGCAATCATAGCTTTAAAAGATGTCAAAGTTGCAATGAATCTGTGAGGGCCTAAGAATGAACCCAGCAGACAGTTGCCATGCCACTGCTTGTTAGACACACTTCCTGCATGCAGGTTAGATGTGCCCTTTACATGGTTTTCATTCTGATCACATAAAATGTTTTAATTTTAAAAGTTTGCCTACATATCACTGAAAACTGGATACAATTGTATTTCAGTGCAAGACAGCTTCCATTATATTTGTTTTGTTTATTCCACAGCAAACATACACCTGTGGGTGTATTGGCCACCCAAAATTAATACATTACCTGTAACTGTATTTTACATGCTGAGAGAACCTACTTACAAGACAATCTAACTTTATATTTATAGCTCTTACTTAACACACACAAGTACCCAAGTGACCAACTTACAGCTTCTTTCCACACCAAACTCTTTTCCACTGAGAATATGGTGTAGAAGATTTTTCATATCAAAGGGGCTTAGATTCATCAAACTCTCTGAAGCTTCTTCACCTAGTTAAAAAACAAAAGAAGAAAACCCAAGCATCATTATAGGTGGTTTATACCTTGTTTACCTATGTAACTGCTGCTGAATGCAGTTCAGTCACATTTACCTTTGTGGCTAAAGCTTTCTCTGAAAGATTAATCTGTAGAGTCACATTTCAAAGAAAATTCACTTCAGGACTAAAGAACAAACACTGCATGGAAATAATACTATTTGCATTAGTGGATATTATGCTGGAACTTGTCTGAAATCTCACTGAAGCTGATGATGAGAAACCAATTGTTCCTTTGTAAAGAAAGATCAACTGGAAAGGCATTACAGCCATCTCTCAACTGCAGCTGACATGTAGAACTAAATTACAGAACCAGTTATTCCATAACAAAATGCATGCATGTGGAAGGGTTGTTGTATTTTAAGGCTAAGGAATAACAAAATAGACCCCAGGAAAAAGACTTTGAAGTGTGAACAAAGAAAGCACTGTTCAGCTACAGGTTTGGGGGAGACAGCACCTTCTGTATGCTCTTCATATAAGATGTGGTTCTGGGCCACCTGATCTAGTCAAGAATGACCCTGCTCATTGTAGGGGAGTTGGCCCAGATGACCTTTGAACATCCCTTCCAACCCAAAGTATTCTATGATTCTATTCTATAATTCTATCCCAGAAAAGGAGGGTGAGTGAGGCACTGGAATGGGTTGCCCAAGGAAGCTGTGAATGCTCCATCCCTGGTGGTGTTCAAGGCCAGGTTGGACAGAGCCTTGGGTGACATGGTTTAATGTGAGGTGTCCCTGCCCATGGCAGGGGGGTTGGAACTAGATGATCTTAAGGTCCTTTCCAACCCTAACTATTCTATGATTCTATGAAAATTACTTGGCTCCTTTTGTAAACTTCTCCTAAGGGAGAAACCTGCTACTCCCAGCAACAGCTACCAATTCACATTAAGAGAGAAGCAGAATCTAAAATGGGCTCCATCTAACCCAGCTACCAGGGACACCCTCTTCACTCCATGAGGGAGAAAACTAGGGAGAGACCAGAAACTTGCTTCCACAAAGTTATCCCCATTCAGGGTGTGCTAGGGCATCAGAAATGGTAACAAGAGCTGAGCCACAAAAATATGGCCCAGATCATGCTCCTAAGTGGTAGCATTTCACTATATACTGGTCACATTGATTACTTTCCATGACTGCTCCTTCTTAGACTTCTGACCCCTGTCAATAAGGAAAATCCTTCAGTGATTTTTCAGATCTCTCTTCAGTTATCATCATCCTCAGATCTCTCTCTAGTTTCAATTTTTTTAAATTTCAATTCCAAAATGAGTTTTAAAATATTTTGCCTTGCACCACTTGTTTGTTACTTACTTCTTGAGTTTTTGTAGGGCATATGCAACATCCTGGGGGCCTGTAAGTTTTTTTACTAATATGCTGACAGAATAACACATCACTAGCTGAATTCTAAACAGCAGATATTTTACAACTAAGCACATTCAAATGGAAAAGGCTTACACATAAGAAGCAGATCAGCAGTTACTTCGAATAAAAACTACCAGATCTATGAATTAAGGCTCAAATGCTCAGAAGACACCTAAGGTCCTAACGCTCATTGACATTGGTGGCACTGGGTCCTGAAATACACACAGATGTGCAATGTGATGACCTACACTTACTGAAAGCCATGGTAATGAAGTATTTAATAACCACTTCAGTTTGAATAACTGTGGGATTGTGAGACAGGAATCTTTCATTAAGCCAGAAAGGTAAGTTATTTTTGAAGCTTGTAGCTGTGCATGCTGAATGAAGATGTTAATCGAAGTATTTAACACATTTAAATGAAAAATCAACCACTGTGGTGCAGCAGAAATCATTCTTTGTGTATCCTTATGATAAAATTGCTCTTACCTGAGCATTTCAGACTTCGGGCCAGCTCAGTGGCCATCACCTGAATTATCAGACCAATGCGGAGCCTGAGCATCTCCACAAAAAGACTAGGCTGTGACCGGACGTACATCGCCAAGTACATAATTATTTCCTGCAAGGACAAATCCATAAGGGCACCCATTCAGAGTGAGTCCTCTTGGCTTTCCCAGTCACAGAGCAAACACTGGTGACACACTGGGCACAGCTGAAAGAACCCTTTTTACACATGCTACCTACCTGCGTCAGGACTGCTATACTGATGTCTTGGCCGCTGGCTTCATAAATCAGATCTATGAGCTCCTCAGGTGGCAGTGGGCTACAAAAAAGTTAAACCATGGTTAGCAATTATTCAGGCACCTGCTATCAACCTCTTGAACAAGCACTGGAACCAAATCACCTAAAAACACGTGTGCCACAAAGGTGCCTACGGCTTTGCCTGTGTAGTTACAGTTCCTTCTGAAGGTGAGGAATAAATTTTAAACCAACTTTTGACTACAAGAAATCTGGAGAGGGACTTTTGACAAGGGCACTTAGGGACAGGACAAGGGGGAATGGATTTAAACTGAGAGAGGGGAGATTCAGATTAGATATTAGGAAGAAGTTCTTCACTACAAGGATGGTGAGGCAGTGCACAGGCCTCCCAGAGAAGCTGTAGATGTCCCATCCCTGGTAGTGTTCAAGGATAGACTGTCTGGGGCTTCGAGCAACCTGCTCTAGTGGAAGGTGCCCCTGTCCATGGCAGGAGGGCTGGAACTGGATGAACTTTAAGGTCCTTCCAATCCAAACCATTCTATGATTCTGTGATAATAGCAACAGAACAGTACCAGCAGGAAGATGAAGGGCAGCCCGCTTCTGTAATTAAGGTAGAGCTCCAACTTACGTGGTAATGATTTTTTCACGGGGCTCTGGTGGCAGGCCCACTGTAAGCTGTTTGTGGTGCGACAGGAGGTCTGTGCATGCCTATCATAATTGGACAGAAAGCAAAAGACCTTTCTCTGAGTCACATTGAAGTGAAACCATTTTTAATTCCCCAAAACAAACTATTCCTTTACAAATATTTAAGTGCATTCCTATTAATTACCAGACATGCAGATCCAGCAGAATGCTGTTAACTAGTTGCCAAAGATCCCCTGAGGTCAACAGGGCTATGAGAGTCTGCCCAGGCTGAAAGCCTGCTCCCAGACTCATTGAAATCAGCAGCTAACGATTAGGGACTCCAGTGGGGCTGGCTGATCAATAAAGGACTTTATCCTTTATCATAAGATAAACATTTGTTATTTATTTAAGACAAAAAATGTCTTTAATCAATGAAGAACTTGGCAGTATTAGCTAAAATAAAACAAAATAAAATAAAATATCTGGAGTACTAACATATCTCTTAGAACAAACAAACATGGAACATATTGCATCACATTTCTGAATTAGGCACCCTGATACATTCTGAAATAGATGCTTGCCTTAGATCCACAGTGTTTACTTTTTTACACCGATGTCCTTTAAAAGTGGGTGTTCAGTTTACCTGTTTTAGCATCCTGAACCAAAGACCTCACAGAACAAGGATCCTCTGATTTTGAAGTCTGTTTTCCCTCGCTTAACATGGAACAAAGTACATCATCTCTACTCACTTCATCCCCAATTCTTTGTCAGTATCTTCTCAACTGCACATACACAGCTGCCTGTGAGCCTGTCTGTACTGCTCATCCATGATGTCTTGAGGATGGAAAAGTTCATGTGCTTAATGAAGTACCATGAAGCGTGATTATCATAAATTGCTTCCTGCAGATACGACTGCTGCTAAAATAGGGCATCCTAGGTGTGACAGTCAAAGCTTTGAAAATGGCCAGGAATTTTACAAAGAGCTCTATTCAGAAATATGTCAGGCTAAGTAGGAAATTAAACAAATACTTTAGAGTACTTGAGAAGAAACATTTTTGTAATGTTCAAAATTAAATCTGTACCCTTACAGTGGATCTTTCTTGTTACTACTTAATAGTCTCTCTATTAAAACTAATAATTTTAGAGGCATTAACATATTAATTAATCTGAACATCCTTGCACACAATAGACTGTCTGCCCAATAGGATGGAAATCAGCAGAGTATGTTTTGTATCATCTCTAGCACCTTGACATAGCAGTGTTCCTAAACTGTTCATGCTACTGCAACAGCAATAGACAATTCCCAATGACAACTACAGCTTTCAAATCACGTAACTGAGCTTCTCCCATTAACAGAGATGGGATGAAGTCTTCACAATCATTTACAGAGTGACATTCTCAGCCTGTGCCAGCACTAACAGAGTCTGCAGTATAGATGAAAGGTAAAGATGTCATAGTAAGATTTTAGATCAGAAAAGCAACCAGTGTTTACTGAAAAATGCTGCACTATGTATGTTGTGAAGTAAAGACCGGAAGAAGGGCAAGTACAAGCTCCACCAGCAAATTGGTAGTTTTAGCTCAGTTTCTAGGCAGGAAACTGAACCAGCATTATTTGTATGTCATACCTCAGCCAGGACTTCCACTCTCTTTTTGAGTATGCCAGAAATATAGCGGATTAATCCCCATTCTTGATTGAGGCCTGCCTTTCTGTAGAGCTCATTGAGTAGGCAATGAACAGTGACACCGTACTGTCCATCCAGCTCTGTGTCCCAGTTAGCACCTCTGCCAGAAAAGACACAGAAGGCTAAGTCATCAGGTAAATGTTATACAGCTTAACCTTAACAAACAAACAAACAACAAGCAGCCTGACTTTGATCAAACTGCTCATATTTTTGTATTAAGCAGTACATAGGACATGGGCCTTCACCAGAGATCAGCTATACGTGGGACAAAACCTTTGGTACCAGGAACTTCCATATTAACTTGAGCACTCACTTAGCCACGAGCCTATAGGTGACTATTTGGTCAATAGCTGTGACCAGACTTAAAGCTGCTGAAGTTTATACTTGGACAACTCACTTTAGTATATGCAAGATATATAAGACATCAGCTTGATCATGGAGCGTTGGACATTCCTTCAACTGCTCAACAAGCTTCCTGCAATCCAGATCACCACGAGCATCTTTAGATAAGTGCAAAACATTTCCACGGTCCTGGTAACAAAGATGGATGAAAAAAAAATCAGAAATGATCCTGAAAAAAGTAGCAGATCAAATTCAAACTGTAAATACCCATTAAAAACATATAACAGACTTGCAACATAACTCTGCACTTGAAATACATCACATAGTTCTTGCCAAGCTACTGCAGACATGAAAAGGAGATCGATCCCCAGGAAACACAACACCCAGAACGGAACTTTGTCTCTAGTCTTGGTTCAATCAACAAGGAAGAAAAAGTTTGTCAAAAAAGGAAATCAAATTATGTGCATGCTTTTCCTGTCATTTGCTGTCCCCTGTAAAGAGAAAAGTGGAAGGATACTACCTCTTTTTAGTTGAAACAATTTAGGGCTTTTTGAGTACCATCTCTAACCTGTATATATGTGGTGCTTTGTGAATGCATTTGTTTCCATCACAAATATTCCAAGCTTCATGCCTTGCTGTAGGATTTGATCAGTGCCGTAAGGACACCTGCCCTTTCACACACTCCCCTCCTGCCCAGATACTACTATAAGTAGCATTGCTTGGAGAACATCTCTAAAAGCCATGAACATCCCATTCTTCTCTTTGTGTGTTCAGTTAGAACTAAAGACAATGACTTAATCTTTGGCCTTTAAAAATAGGCACCTATATATATTGCACACACAGTTAAAAACTTTCCACTTGATGATGTCCATTTAACCAAGAAAACTTCACCAAGACATAAATTCCAAAACAAGGGAGTAGCTATCTGGTGCCTCAGGCAGAATGTCTTGTCTGTGAAGGAAAATGAGAATGTTTATAGGGTTTGGCTGGGAAACACAGGAAAAAAATGCAGTATTGAGTCCCAAAATGACAAACAGCATGAAAATTCCCACATCTTACCTTTGCCTCAAAGAAATGGGGATTATCAACAAGATTCAGAGACTTCCGGTGTGTGTTCAGAACTTTAGTGGGCAGAGACATAGACACAGCTGGAAAACAAAGCCACAAAAAAAAAAAAAAAAGACAAAAAAAGACAAAAAAAGTCTGTTTCAGTAACAGAAAAATCAAAACCACCTTCATGAAGCAGCTATAGTAGGTTAAAACAACAGAAATACCTCCAAGAATCAAAATACAGAGGCAAAACTTCTGAGATCCTGTGCGTGGAACCTGGACAAGATCAGATTCTGAACCTTATCTCCTTGCAGGCTTGCTCCAAGAGCTTCCAAGATGAGCATGTAGTGCCTGAGATTTTTACATGCTGAACTGGTATCTCTTATGGCAGCCTATGCCTCAGAAATCCTACAGCCCAATGACCTGACCCTGCTAAGGGTTTTAAACATTTCAACAGGAAGTACTTGGAGAAAATGGTCTAACTGGTAAGGTATCATAATTAAAATGGTAATGCTAAATGTAGGCTAATTCTCTGTTAACTTCGTATGTTGAATTCAATAGAGGATCAGATGATGTGGCATATGAAAAATAGGAGAAAAGACTAACAAAAGAGCTTGAAAGTTACTAATTTCCACTGAAGTTAATGGAAGCTTTCCCTTAACCAGGGCACTGAATACTACATACCAAAATATAAAAGAATGCATATGTCGGAATCTATTTACAAATTCAGTCAAAGCACTATTTTGGTGTAAAACCTCACATCAGTCTACTAAAAATCTACAGTAATTAAGAATCTGTCCTCCCTCTCTACTCCATTTGTTCTTACAAATTCAGAGAATACGTGAGCATTTTTATGTTTTTTCTGGCATTGAAACATTTCACTTCACCACAACTTTACTAAAATAAGAAAATACATTTTGTCTGCCTTTGTGTAAAAAGTGACAAAAAAGAAAAAAAAGAAAAAGAACTCTCTGACTTGAGTTCTAAAATTCTATCCAACTGAGAAGCTGTAGCAGTTCCCATACCATTAACCTTGATTAAATGTTACATTTCATAGCAGGTTATCTGCGTATACAACAAGACAAGGGAAAACAACAGTAACAGCTTCAGACTCATTCTTATTTCTTGATAACTACAATGTACTCAAGACACTGATTCTTTTTAAACAGCAGAATTTTGAAATACTTGAACTTGCCCCTTTTAGCACCCAAACCACACTTTCTATTATTATCATTGAATAGCTAACAGGAAGAAATACCTGGAACTTCCAAGCCCTTTGTCTTTGCCATTATTGACAGTATCTCTTCTGTGGAATGGTTTGCACTGAACACAGGTGGTTGATTTGCAGTCTTTGAAGTTGGAGGCAGGTATGAATTCAGTGCTGTACTCTGCAGGACATCATTTATGTACTGATCCAGCTCATCCTGACTTTCTAGTGGGACATACATAAAAGGTTTATTAAAGGTAAGATCACAATTTACCAGTTTTTTCTTTTTCAAACATACCATTTTATGCTTGCTATATAGAAGGGCACACAAAATTGCAAGAATATCATAAGCAAGAGATTTCTAAGCTGAACAAGTTGGAAATTAAAAAAAAAAGCAGTTTTTGACTCTGAAAACAGTTACATTAAGAAGTTGGTTTTCCCTTTGAAAGGAAGTTAAAGTGTTTCTATCTTTCTAGTAGTCCGCAGGACTCAAGGGTGTTTTCCAACCAAAATGAGTCTATGAGCCTATCATCTCCTCCATACAAGCTCTTGTCTATGACTTCTCAGTCTTTTCCTCCCTCTAGCCTCTTTCACACAGTCTTCATCTGCTGACTCTTCAGACTCAGCTTTACTGCAGCAGTTACTGTTCAACACCATACTACGAATGTAGGAGGAATATGCACAAATTCCATCTCCAAATTAAGTCATGCAAGTACTGTCCTCAGACTGACACACAAGAAACCTGAGTGACTATCAACGAGTGACTATCAACTATGCACAAAATAGACTCTGTTGATAGAACTTAGGAAGGAAAAAAAAAAAAGAAAATGTGGAAACCCACTACCTTTTTCACAGAAATCTGCTGAATAGCCTCCATATTCACTGTCGGGACTCCTGCGGCCTTCATTAGGGTCATCGAACAGTTTTACATCACAGTCTGGATCCAGGAAGCTCAGATGCGTATGAAAAGAGGTGGTAAGAAATTCTGACAGCTTGCCTATCTTCACTCTGCAAACAAGAATACACACCAAAAAGTAAGCAAATACACACCGAGTACCATTCTGATACTGAGTATCAGAGTAATACTCCCTGAGTTTTCAACAGCTCCTCCAAAATTTATAAGACCAACTGTTAAATCCACCCTTGGTAACTACAAAGCAGCAGATACTGATAGTGAGAAAAACAAATGTAAAACAAGACTAGCAGATCTAACTGAGTACTTAATGCTCTAGATACCTACAGGTGTTAACTCAAAGTCTAATTATGCAGCGTGCTGTATGTATGAATACAGACTCTGAACAAAGACCTAAACTCTAAGGATAATGTATTAAAAAACCTGGGGTTGAGAAGTTCCCATGAATATCAGTATCTTCACACCAAACTTCAGTACTGCTAAGAACCAGAAAGTGTATCTGATTACTGGGGGAAGATACTGATTGTCAGAGAGCAAGCAGAAAGAGAACAGGGAGGTACTGTGGCATCATAGTAAATTGCTCTTATATGCGGATAAATGGAACAAATAAGCTTACAAGTACAACATGTAATTTGTGTTTAAAACATCTCCAATAACTGTGAAACATAATTACATCTTAAAACCAGAAGACCAGCCATGACCAAGTTTTCGTATTTCCAAGAGTTTGACATTCATTTTTCCTTATTCATTAATGGCAGTCAGAGATGGTACCCCTTTTGGAGACAGATCTTGTCCACTGCATGCGAGGTCCAGCTACCATCTACTTGACACATAACTAAAGCTGAAACTCTTTGCAGAGTTCTAGCGCAAGGTCTGCGTACTATCACAAGTTCAAAACTGAGGACTGTATATGATTTAATTAAAAAAAAAAAAATCACCGAAAGAATCATCTGGAGGTTCTGACATTACCTGGCACCTCCAAAATATCCATCCTCTAATTTTCTTATGGTGGCAAGAACTGCAGGATGAATGTCAGTACCACCGTCAACTGAAAAAGAATGTTAGAAGAGTCTAAGCTTACCAACACATTTTGAATTATCATGTCCAAATAAAGTAGATTACTAGGTGTTCTCTATAAAGTAGATCTGACAAATTTAAATCACTTATCAATACTAGCTTATTCAAAAAAAAACAAACAAGCAAACAAAAAACCAAGTTCTAAGGGGATTTCTCAAGACAAAACCCAACCCACTTTACAAAAGTTCCAAAGGGACTTCTATCGCATTTCTTTGGACAGAAATAGCATGGAGATGATGAGGAGATGCAAGGATATAAACGGAGAGTAAAACTAAAGTGAAATATTAACATATCATCCAAATTCAGCAAATACTTGAGGAAGTTACACTGCACTTTTGATATTGGAATTCAGATTTTGAAATGTCTCTTCTCAAACTGACTTCCATCCTATTCCCCCTGCCTTAATCTGCTCTGCTTGAAACACAGAAAACTGGGTTTACCAAGCATTGTGTGGGTGATGGGAAATGTCAGGGTTGGTCTCCCTGTCATCCTCCAGCAAGAAGTGAGGTACGCCAGCTCTATCTTCAGCATCTCCACAATCATCTGATTGTCTAGAGCCAGATAGAAGTGATGCTGGTCAGTAAACTAGAGAACAAAGAAATACAGCATATGAGTAGCTGTCAGTACTCTTTTTTTTTTTTTACATGTCCTCCTTTAAATCATTTACAAAAGCCATGTAAGCTACTCTTAAGCACAACAAAGACTGCATGAATTAACCTAATAAGGCCTGTGAATGTGAAAAAGAAATCCATGCTTCAGCAGAAACCATTTTCTTACACTCGGAGACTGACTGTGAAAGAAGTAAGCCATACAAATAAAAAGGAATCAATCACACCCATGAAGTAGAATCTTCCCGGTGATGAATTACAGTAACCTATGGTCTGGAAGATGGAAGTACTCTAAATGTGGAAGAAAAAGCTAACAATAGCATCCAACCCAATAAATAGACTTAAGTGCATGCTGAGGACTGGGAACTGGTACCTGTATGTCTTTTGGGAACAATCTGAAAGTCAAGCTGAATACACAAAAGCTAGGAGTTACTATGTAAAAACGGTACGTTAAATGTACAGTGGTAAAGTGTGCTGTTCCCACTACAGAGGAAAGCCAAGAATCACAGTAAGAGACTATCTGGCTACTTTAGGAGCTGGAAACCAAAAAAGGTAGACAACCAATGGAAAGCATGACAAAGCAGCCACAAAAAAGTTAAGGAAAGACACTGGTCTTGGGGAGGGGTGAGCACGTAAATTCAAGCTGACAAAGTGCAGAGGAATTACTCCACAGAACTTAAGGAACTAGACAAATAAATCCCTGAGCCACTTGCAATTAGTTTTGATAATTCAAGACAAAAAAGTCCCAGAAATCCAGAGAGAAGCAAACACACTTTGAAGAGGAAGAGCCAGGATAACATAGACCAGTCAAGCCAATGCCAGTGCCTGAAAGCACAGGAAAACAAAGTCAATTTGAGAATGCCAAGATGATTACAAAAGTATAAAGCAATATGGCCAAACAATCATAACAAAAACCAATCTCAGCAAATGAGTCCAGTTTGCTTCTTTGGGAGTAACCAGATGGTAGGTACAGGAAAGTGGCTGACATCTCTCAACTTTCAAATGTTCACACTAATGAGCTGAAGAAAAAAATACCTGAGGAGGCAGAACTGTTTGAAAAATTGTTCTCAAAATAGTAGTTACTAACTATTTCTTCAGAATGAGAAGGTATCTTAATGGGGTCAGCCTTTGCCCCACGCTTCAATATTTTCAATCAATATTTTAATTAGAGAACAGGATGAAATACAAACTAAAAAAAACCCACAAAATTTGTGGACATTTGTCAAGATCAACAGAGATGAGTTAAATGCTAACTTTAGGAAGGCAAAATTAAACATTAGTTCCACTCCCCTCAACAAAAAAGTTAGGGGAAAATGTCTGGCTACAAATCAAAGTAAAAATGTTACGGAGATTTTAGTTTAACTCAGCAGGATAAATGCCATTTTGGAACACGTCAATAAGTACTTGATACATGGCAAGATTTCAGGTGGATCCACATTTTTTGCAGTAAATCTGATGTTGTTTGGACATCATGAAGGACTGCAGAAGCCATCTATAGAATTCACTGAACATGTCTTCCACTGGAATTTGAGGACTACATTAGTCAAGCATCTATATAGGAGGGTGTGAGCATTCTGTATCCTGCTCCAGTTGCATGTTTGTAGTAGGTGACCCCTTGGCCTTTTAGTACCAACTGCTAGAATAAGTCTACAGGAATAACTCTGTCGTATTTCATTAAATATACAAATAAGAGCACTAATTCAGAAAAATAAAGACAGAACATTCCTTTGTCAGCCCTATTGACCATTTTAACATTATAATGAACAGATCACATCTTAGTCTCTTCGGGGTCACGGTACTTGGCACACATATGTGAAACTAAATTTTCCATCAAGGCAATTGTAGGAAGATACACTAAGTGACCTACTTGTGGAGAAACTGCTTCACTAGCTAGAATGTTGGTTCAGGCAGAGTTCAGTAACAACTCTGTACTATTGATTTGCTGTGTTCTCCTACACCAGAAACCAAAGAAGCCAGACTCTGTATGACAGAGCACTCCTACCATGCTGATCATCCAATGCTATTAAAAAAAAAAACAGAGAAAAGTACATCTGCTTTATCATCCCTGTTCTACCTACAGCTGAGTGACAGCATGTAAAAGCTAAGTGCTACACTAATGATTAGCCATTAAGTAAGCAGTAATTTCCCCATCAGCTTTAAATGCTCACCTGAGGGGTAAAAGCAAATATTTGATTTCTTATCACATACAGCTTGGAGGTGCCCAACACTCCAATATGTCGGTGTGGCCGTCCACTTAATTTCATGTTCTTGTTCCGGCCTGTGAAGAAAAGAGAGAGAAAAAAGGTCTCGCCTAATATTTCCTGTGTGCTTTTCCACAACAACCATTTTAGACAAGGAGATCATTCATTGATATCAGTAAGGCAGAAGACAGGTAACAGAGTGAGATGCTACATACTGGTCCATTTTGTTGCAACCATCAAAATAGTAGCTGGAGTTCTTCAAAGGCCCAACTGAAAATAAAAATCTTGGCTTCACTGGCCATGGGATTGAGACTTTTAATTACAGGCACTGATTAGCACCTGAAGTTTCTCTACCAAAAGAACATGACGTATGCCCTTTCAAAAACAAGGCCATCAACAGACAACAGAAACTGCAGTGCTGAAATTGCAGAATTACAGTTCACTGTAGAACCTTAAAAACTCTTGCCCACAGAGGGCTAAGTCCAAACACAAAGTACATCCAAATACAAAGACAGATCTTCATTCTTTTCATCAACCCAATAAATTCGACTTTTTTCAGTAGGGCTTATTTGTGAATAATCCACACTGCATTCCTTGCTCCAGCAGCCAGGAGCTGACTTGACTCTATCTGTCAAGGAATATGAGCCAAACAACCAGGTGTCTGAAAAAAATACCACTGTGGAAATTCCCAGAGAAGTCACTGTTAAAAACAATGCACCAACATGCTAAGTCATCCTACTAATTTCCCCACTACTGAAAGAAAGCCATTATGAATTATTATGAAATAAATGTAAGCTTCAGCAAAGCCCTGCAAACATTTCATTTGTATAAAGTTTTTTTTGATAGAGACAGGTTCTCTCCACAAAACATCACCTGCAATTCCCCTTTACTGGAAAGGGAATTTACTGGAGAGTAAAGTTCACACTTCAGATAAGTTTCTCTTTGGAAACATCCAAACAACTTTCTGTTAAAAGTGAAAAAAAAACCCAAACAACAAACCCCACAACAACAAAAACCCCAACAACAACAACAAAAAAACCAACCCCAAACCTATCCCATGGTCTCATGGTCTCCCTCACCATTATTTGTAACCACACTGCCATGGGAACATGCTCCTGACTGACAGAGAAGCATGATATGGCTCCCCTTGTCCACACTGTAAAGGAATGCACCAGTGCTGATTTACCCCACCTCAATTTTACTGTGTAGTAACATCCACAAGTTTGAGTTATGAGTTGCTGGAATGCTTAAAGTTGTAAAACCAAATTCAATTAGGAATACATGTAACAAATTTTCTACCAATACCACCTTCATTCCAGCAAGAATTATCAAAAGAGACAGTTATCAAAATATTTTCAACAACTAGAACTAGTCAGAGTCTTGGGGTATTTATTTAATACAACTGCCAGGCTTTGAGGAAAACAGGCCTCTAGGGCCACTGCTGAGGAACTGGAACATGTTTGAAGTCCTGTGTTTAGAAAAGCCCTGAAGGCTTCTTGGTTTGCAACACAGAGTGCTTCAGCAGTTCAATTCAACTGAGGATTGGAAGGAACATTAGCAAGAACCTGAAAACCCAAAGATGCCTTAATAGCAGCACAGCTTCCCTGGTTTGGAGCAGAAAACCTCCCAGGTGTGTGCTGGTAGAACAGCAACTGCACTGCTATTTCCGGACTTAAACCGTAAGTACTCAACATTTGGGGTTTTTTGTGTCTATTTCTAGGCATATTTTCTAAAGCCAGTTTCTCTGTGCAAGTAGTTCCTGCAGGACAAAAAAAGTCAGTTCTTGCCTGACTCTTAGGGCACAGGAAAACTTGTATTTTGGACATCTTTTCTAATGAGGCAATTCTTTTTTTCCTGTTGGAAAAATTAAATCAAAGATACTGAGAGAGAGACAAAAAACAAAACACCACCCTTAAAAGCAAATCTTGCACAGTAGTAGAGAGAGGCTTCCATGTTCAAATACCTACCAAGCATGGTGTAGAGGTTACTCAGGATGCGAGCTGGCTGCACTCTGAGTGGATGGATATCAGCAATGCTCTGAACATTGATTCCATGGTCTTGCAAGAGACTCTTAATTTGATTAGATTCAGCCAAAACAGTTACTGCATAAAAGAAAACAAATACATTAGAAAGAACAAGCACCTGCCCAGGCCACAGTATCACTGACAAAGGCTGCTCCTGATAAAATGAGCTGGTTGCTTTACCAGAGCAGTACAGGCCCCTAAAAAGCCTTTAGGTCCTGATCAGCTGGTGCTTGCCCTCTACTTAATTTTCTGGTTTTGGCTATTCCTGCACTAACTAAAGAAGCCACTCCCTGCAGCAGCCAAAAAACAGACGTTAAGTCTGTCTGCCTCATCTCTGTGTACAGAGATCCTCCCCACTCACTGCTCTCTGGGTCTTCCAGAAAAGGGCAGCTCAGAAACTTAACTGACTTGTCTCCTACCAGTCCTGCTCCTTCTTGCAGCCCTTGCCTCTTCTAGAATTCACCAAGATTTTCCATGTTGATGCAAGATTCAGACTGCTGCTCTCCAGCCCCTGACAGGTCTTAAAATTTTAACAAATATTTAAAAAAATAAAACGTTTGTTAAACCTGATCTTCCCTCTGAAAAAAGGCAGCCACGCAAACAACCCCTGTCTCCTTCTCATGGTATCATCAAAACATCTACAACCAATGCAAAATGCACATTATTTTTAATCACGTCTGTTTTCTTTCCTGTACATAGAGACTTCACCATCACACGGTCCAATTCACCCAGAATATTCAGAAAACTCCCTCACCTTGCACCACAACATCAGGTTTAAGTCCAATGGAAAATCTCCTATTCAAGGGATCAACTTCACCTGCAGCAAGAAATCCCTAGAATAAATGCAAGAGAAAGAAAGAAACAAAAATTAAGTAAAAGGCTTCTGATTCTACCAGGAGGGCAGGACTTAATGCCTGGTTTATCCAACTTGTCCACTAAGTAGTACAGCCAATAAAAACAATGGCTGCAATACTTTTAGAAACAGCAGGAAAATGGTTATCACTGACATAATCTGCATGTGCAGATTTCTTGGTTTAGAGTTTCAGCAAATGACACAATTTCACCAGGCCATGATCTTTTATTTTTATTCAGTGTTTCTTCTAACAAGTTCATGGCTAACATGGGACAACTCCGTAGGCATCTTATGCCCCAGAGTAAGGCATAGCCTAGTGGAGTTTGAAGATGCTCCAGATCCTAGCTATGGGGTACCAAATCATCCTGGGCATATTCCTGTAGCCTAACCATATGACAACTTCTTCAGCTTGATTAGAAATAGACAATTGCATATCTGTGTACAAGAAAAAAAGAAGCTTCTGAAATCTCAGTCATCCTTCCATGGTTCATGTACATGTTTCTACTAGAAAACACATTGTCCTCTACCTATCGACCAAACTGTTCTTAAAATTCAAGCCAACTTAAAACAAAATGACATACAAGCCCACCTACTGTACAATAAAAGATTACCTCTGCTAGCAGGCAGCTAAGGACATACAGTGATTGGCCCCAAAGATGAGGTAACTTTCCCACTGGGACACGATCCACTGAGTGAGGATTTTCATACTCCTCATCCACCTGAAAATAAATGCATAGCAAGAAAAATTACCATAAAGTTCTGAAGAACAATGAATTACATGGAAGTATTTTAAAACTGTGGTCTATCATCTACCCTTTCTAACCTCCCATTATTACTGACATTGATATTTCTTGGTTTTATTATTTTGAAGGTTGCACATTTTCTGGGACAAGAACTATGCTTCCTTTTCGTACGCCACCCCCCACCCTTTGAAGCTGGAGGGTGAATGGGTATTCTCTGTGTAATTACAGCTTTGGTGTTAGCACTTCCCCTTTCTTCTCACCATGCCTCTGCTGCCTTCCCTCTAGGCAGCTTGTAGGTTATGGTGCATCTGCTTTCCAACCCCTTGCAAGATGATCCTTGAACTTAACTGATGTCTACGTAGTTTCTTGAAGTAAAGGTGCTTTCCAAAAATGAAGGCTGTTCTACCTTTCCTCTGTTAATAAGACTGGTCAATGCAAAACTTAAAAGTAGACTTTTCTAAATTTAGAAAAACTGCTTTGCTTTTATAGTATACAGATCTACTGAGGGTGGAGGAAAAATCCTCCTTGTTAACATCTTTACAGTACCCATGTTAAAATTCATAAATGACAGGCAAAATCTGCCCTCTTTATTTGGCATGTTCATCAGACCATCATCATCATAACAAAATTCACAAGGCAGCTGTGAACTCTTACATGGGTGTTCCCACTAGGAAGGCAATTCAGAGTTTCCACCTCAAATCTGTGAGCAAGACATCAGCTGTTGACACTACTTTCCCAAACTCAGACCAAGCCAGGGGGCTGCACACCCTTAGCGAGTGAGGGCTGAGAAGTCTGGAGCAGGGGAAGAAGGTGGCAGGGAGGGATACAAAGGCAAATAGCATGGAAGAGCACATAAGCTCATCTGAATTTCTCCGTCATAGTGGGAGAATCAGGTAAATAGTAATAGCATGAGGGAAAGGGGGTGGAAAAAAACCAAACCAAATGAAAAAAAAACAAGCCAAACAAAAACCTCAGCCTAAACCCTATTCCACCTCTCTGAAACCCGTTTCTCCCTCACATACAAGCTCTGGAAAAGAAGGAGCACAATCAATCGACAGACTAGACAGTAGGACAGTCTATGCTTTATTTTTTCTTTGATCTTCAGTTCCTAAGTCAGCATTGCACTTCTAAATATTATGTCTTGCTGTAAGGATTTAAAACTTAGACCTGCTCTAATATTTCCACAGTCACCCAGATTCCCAAGTAAAAACTGTTACCATTTGCAGCCTAAAATTTACCATTTCTCACTGGGAGCTGTGAGAGATCTTTTAGTTTTTAAATGTACAGTAGTCTTCCTATTACTGGTTTAGGTTTATCACCTGCAGGACAGCAATGAAACTGACACTCATCTTGATACCTATGTTTTGCATATTCAAGTGGATGCTGCATTTTCACAATACCTTTTCTGGAGGCACTGCGTACAGTTCAGGCATCAGCACTATTCCATTCTTCTCTCTAATAAGTATTCCTTCCAGAGCCTCTCTATACTCTTGTACCTAAAAAATATTTTAAAAAAGAGTGAAAAATTACATTACAAACAGCAAAACCAGAACTGTAAAATTTTAGTACTTTCCAGCAGTATGTTTCTGATGAAAGTTCATGGGGAAAATAAAAAAGGGGGGGGAAGGGAAAATCACAACTTGCTGATGGAAGATCAGGGTTCAGATTCTCAGAGACTGTTCCAACATCTCAATATTCTCAGCCTCAGAAACATGAACATACATCTTTAATCTGTAACGCATCACTGCAGTGCAAACTTCTTACATATTCCTATCAAGAAGTCACTGGAATAAATCCTACATGGAACTTGCAATGGATGACAATGTAGTGACATGGATGTCAGGACTGCTAATATCCACAGAAGTGTAAGGTGTATAAATAGTTAGCTTTCTGCCATGCACATTTGTCTATGATTTTCTGAATTCTGCTTCACAGGACCGGGAAATCAATTTAACTGATTTGCTTAAAAATTTGTGCAGGGAAAACTTAAAAGTTGATTTAAACTGTTTAAAACTATTGACATTAACTGAACTGAAAATCCTCTTGGTTTTGTGTTATGTATATTACACCGAGGAATACCAGAGTGATACAAAATAAAGAATATTTAATGCTCTTTTTGCCAGATCACTTATTTTGTTCCATTTGTGAACCATTCCATTACAAGCTTTTACCTATCAGGAGGCCGTTTTCAAATACTACCAGCACCTGCCTATTTCTGCTATCCCTTTCTAAGTGAAACACACAAAGGATACTGCCCCAGATAATCCAATTAAATTCTAGAGACTGCTTTGAGAAGTGGTATTTTATTGACATGACTGAAGAGTCAGTAAACTTTCCGATTCTCCCCCTCATGAAATAATGCCATTTTTCTCTCTCTACCAGACTATTTTCCTGGGTTCAGGAAAGCAACTTATATTTCTAGTCTCAGTAAGCATTTAATACCATTTACAACATCTGGTACATAAAGAAGACTTTTGGGTCTGAAATTCGCTGTTTTGTTTCTGATGCCATTTTATTTTTAAGGGGTTATGTTTAACAATCTGCATTCTAGGCGATTTTAAAGATTACATTAATTTTTTACTTTCTTCAAGCCACCAACCTAGAGAAGTCCTGGTATAAATGCATTTTTATACCAGAGCGACTGGCTACATGTCGCTCCTTAATTCACCAATATTCTCCAGGTGCCACTATAAACTTTGGAAGGCTACAGTCACTTTAGCTTCCCTGACCACTGGATGCTTGACATAGTAAAGGCATGAAGTAACTTAGTGAATTCATGAAGATGAAATGGCTCCTCATAATCCAACCATAAATCTCCCTGTATGTACAGAAGGACTAAAGGTACTGTGAATCCTGTTTTCAGCAGCCAAGCCACAGAGGTAGCAGGAAAAAGAAGGTGGTCTCATCCTGAAGTAATTGGGAAAGAAGTACCAAGGCTGGCAATAAGACAGAACCAGGCAAATAAACCCTGGTCAGCCCAGTTTGACCACACCAGCTAAAAGAGCCATTCAACCTGGTAGAGGCCCCAGCGTGTACAACACTGCCGCTGCACAACACCAACTCCCCAGGAAGGTAAGATTAGCTGATGACTAATCCCATCCTGCTGATGGGGTATTCAACTGATACCTAAAATAAACATGGAGCAAGCTACAAAATACCATGGGTAAATGGCTTTGCATTTCCACTGACTGTGATTTCTTCTTTCCTTACCTGAATTTTATCCTCATTGAATACTCCATCAATTAGGAAGTATGTCCAGAATACTGGCCACTCACATTCAATATTCTCAAAGAGCTTGAGCTCAGCAGGATCATAGTGCAGCCTGCTTGGGTCCTAGAAATTCAACCGTACTTGTTTAGTCACAGCGCTAAATTAGTCACTCATATTCCAAGCATAATAGCAGCCTATTTTATCCAAGTAATTACAACCAAGAAACCAATAAAACCACCAGAAATAGTTCCCATTCAGACTCTTGAGTTCTTTTTCACATTCAGTTTCAAACTCATTTCATTGTTCCCTAGACAAATCAACCCTTCCCAGTCTCAGAATTTAGGTGTCACCCAAATAATCTTGGCTCTGCCTCAGTTCAAAGATATTCTTGGACACTTCAGCCACCACTTCTGCTTAGGCACCACAAGCATATCTAAGGGTTCTTTTCTTACGGAATTAAGTTCTGCTATTAATAATTGTTTTTCAAACCCTTAGTCTCCTCAGATGTGTGTCATTTCTATGGTGGACACCTGGATTGCCTCCAAATCCAAAATCCAAATCCAAAGATGTCTTAACAGCAATAGAGAACTTCACCCCTTCATGTAAATGACACAATAAATGTCTACAAGCAAGAAATAAAATTCTTTCTAATGCCTAACTGAAATACACATCAGAAGTACCTCTCTGGGTGTCTTGTAACCATCTCGGAGAAAGCGACAGCAGCCATAGCGGCCCTGTAAAGACAGACAAAGGTACACAAAACTTCACATACTGTTCTTTTTCACAGACTAACGCCAGCATAAAAGTTATGTGCTGAATTTTAAGCGTCACCTAGGGATTTTCCTTCCTCTCTTCCCCACACAGATGGACCAAGTCTGGTAACCCTTGTCTAATTAGGATTACTGGTTAAGAAAAGGAGGCTCTACTTCTCTTTACCTTTGGAAAATAAAAATAAAGGAATTCCTTACCTGCAATTTGGATATGATTTCACTCTTGGTTACATTAACTAGGTTTAGATCCTCCACCGCAAAAGCCGGGTAAGAAATAATAGAGAGAAGGCCAGCATCTATTTCCTTTGATGTGGACGCCCTTGGCAACATGGAGTATAGGATAGACTGAGCAAAACAAGAACAGAAGAAAGGGATGTAACACAACTTACCTACTTCAAAAGACTGTGTCAAGTGCAAATGGAATAGACTACAGTATTTGCAAAGACAGAATACTCATTACATAATTATTTTTAACTGAGTTAGAACAAGAATCTTCGTAACACTCACTTTCACATGATCTACTAGAAACAGGGTGAAAAGCATAGTCTGAAGCCATCCTTATTATATTAAGTTCTTGGTTCAGTTAATCAAGATTTCATTTAAAAACAGAAAGGAGAGAGGTGTTGGGGTTTGCCCTAGCAAAGGAAACAGAAGACTGTTTTTTACCTGACAATGTTCTACTTCATCAGGAAGAACATGAATCACTGATTTGTGTCCTCCATGAGCTCCAAAAAGATCTAGTTCATCAATTGCTTCCAAAGCAGCCTTCAAAAACACCCAAATAACAGCAAAAAATCATTAAATACATTTTAAGCCAAGTATACACTCTAGCACCAGTGCTTATCCTCTGAAGGAAAATAAGATGGAAGTTTGCTAACAGACATTTTTTCATCTTCAAAGAGATGCTTGGCAATACTTTAGAAACAGTATTTCTGTCCTCCTGCTAGTAGGATACAGGGCTGACGTGCTGGTGATCCTTCTTACAACTTAAAGGCAAAGCATAACAACGGAGAGCTGGGCTTCCACTGAGATAATATCTAAACATTATAATACTTAGTAATAAATGCTATATTCCAAAATAACCCCCATTCAGTGGCTTTTCAATTCCTCCTTCACCAAGGGCTGTTCAAAGAGGAAGGCTTGCTCAAGGCAACCCAGAATCAGCAGAGGCCGCTGCCCTGAGAAGAAAGTACTGTTGTCTCTCTGATAGTATCATTTCCAAAGGAAAGAGAAATGAGATATCTGCTCTCTCCAGAGCCAACTGAGGCACAGCATGCTCTATGTCAACAGGTGAATCATCACATCTCATACCTCTTGGCCATAATGCATTTGCCCAGCAAAGACAGCAGCAGCCCAAACACTGCCCTCATTTGGACACTGCCACCTTAACCTAGCAGGCTACAAAACTTGGCTTTGAAGAAGTGGGGTGTGCAGCACCACACAGGGAATGTGGTAAGAAGAGATCTAGAACCAGACAGCCATAGCCAGGCTAGCAGAACCTTCCTCCAAAATGCATATTCACAGGGTTGCAGCAGCACTGAATGCTGCTCCATGCCCATTTTTGCCCTGCAGCTTCAAGGTAATGTCAATCTCTGACAAAGATTGCACAGCACAACTTGCCTTATGTCTCTGCAGAGGTGCATGTGTATTTTTCTTCTTTCAACACAAACATGGGTTTACTGGCTCTATAGAGTGCCTCTCTCTAGCAGAGTGTTACAGCAGCAGATTTTCCTGATAGCAGCAGAAAAGCCCGTTGAGGAACTGATAGCTGGGACCATGGGCTTCCTTAAAGGCGCAGAAAAAACACTGAGATCCGCTCAAAGGCATATGCTGTGTGTGGTACTGCTGCCACAGATGGCCACACAAAGCAGATACAGGAGAGAAATGTTGAGAGGGAGGATAAGTCCTGAGGCAGACTGAAGAAAAAGCATCTACCTTGCACCTCCTCAGCAGCGCCACCAGCATGCCTTCCCCAGTCCTCACCCCAAACAGCACTTTTACTGAACTCAGAGGCACAGAGAAGCAAAGCTGTCAGTCTGTCCTGACATCAGTATGCCCAGAAGTCATGCAGAGACCACAGCAACCCATGCCAGAATATTCAGGGCAAAAACATTCATACTGGACACCTAAGGAATAACCTCCCCCATGGACACTGCCCCACTACTATTCAACTGAACTGCGGCCAAGACCAGCAGTTACTGTCTCTTGTAGCCACCAAGGTCTTGGTAACTAATAAATCTTGCTGAAATGCTACTACGCCTCTGACCTTTATGGCAATTAGCTTGTGTGAGCCACCTAGACACCACGTAAAAAGGTAGTTTTTGACTGCATATTTACATTCATGGCCTTCTGAGCTTCATTTAGTATCTCTGTGACCTTGTGCTACGGGGGAACTAGAAATATCCACTTCCTTTTAAGTACATCTTTACTCATATCTCTTTCTAAATTACTTGTGAATAATTTCTTAGACTGATACTCTGCTGTTTTTCAGGATTTACATCTGACCTAATCGTACCATGAAAGTATCACACATAATACTGGGGCAGGAGAACTATGAAAGAAGGGACAGAAAACCAGAGGCCACTTTATGAGACTGCACCTCACTGAATTTATCAGATTCATGGCTCAATGAATCTGGTACCCTTCTTGCAATGTCCAGAACAACTGTGCTGAGGTCTTTCAATGAAAGCCATTACCACAATGATTTGACACTAAAAAATATTCTCTTACACCCAAACAAAAATTCTTATACAATCAGTTAATTATCGCAGTGGCCAAGAAGACGATGGAAAGGAAGCCATCAGGTTTGTCAGAGCCCTTCAGCATGACAGAACAGCCATGAAGGTGGTGTCAGGAAGACATTCTTACTTTGGCCATCCCTACGGAGCTTGCGTTCAGTTCAGGGATGCCCTGGTTTGTCTTATCACCACGTTCCCAAATTCCATAATCCTGCAACAAAATCATCAAGAAAAAATTGGCATGATTATATATAAAACCAGTGTTTTGTCCCACAACAAAACCAGACCCCTGCATGAAATCAGTTTATTTGCCTTAATAAATCAAAACTAAACCAAAACAAAAATGCTCCAAGTCTCTAAAGAGCTCCTCCTAGGGCTTAAAGAGCAGCACATAAAAACACATCCTAGCAGGACCAGGTCTACAGTCATGAATCACTGTCTTCACAGTACACAAAACCCTTTATCTTTTCCCCTGTGCATGATTCTCCCTGTGCCCCTTCAACTTGGCACCTTCCAGAAAGTTTATTAACACTCTGCTCTTTTTAGAAAGTCCCGTAAGATTTTAATGTGACATTGGGAAATATTTTTAATTATCAATAAAGAAAAACTATCATTATGATAAAACAAGTATACCTCACCAAGGCAGCAGTTAATCTTCCACAGTCCTCCCACCATCTCCAAAATGCTGCTCACAATGCAAAGTACTGACAGGTTCTGTTATCTTCTCATGGAAGAAAAAGTCTGTATTTTCCTTCTCCATCAATAAATAACTTCCCACCCACATCTGAGCAGTGTTTGGGTGATTTACATCCAAATAACTACTTACAGCGACTTTGTAGGCAGCTTCTATATAAAAAACAAGATTCTGAATAAAGGTAACTTCATCAAGGGTGAAGATAATACGTAACCCTGGTTATAAGAAGGAAAGAGTAATTATATTGTGTTAGAACTGAAATATTTACTCTTCAGTGAGTTTCATGCTTTTGTTTATTTGCTACCAACTACTACCCACTGAAATCAATGGAAAAAACTCATGCTGATTTCAAAAAATAAGGCAGCAAGACTCAATACTTAATACTGACAAAATACTTCAAATGCCACCAATACACATTGTTTCAAAGACAAACCAAAACCCACCCCATGGAGGGTGGCATTCAGACACAGTGGGTACAAAGGAGAAACCTCTGCACCAGCTCTGGAGAGTATCCCAATTCCTACAGTTCTCCACCTCTCCGCCTGCTAAGTGTTCTATCAAGAGACCACCAGGACACCCAGGCACCTGCTCTGCAGGGGTCAATGGCAAAGGGCTGTGAGGATAGAAAAACACATAAAGAAACATATCCTTATTCCTACAGAAGTACAGTTGAGAAGAACACAAGCTAGAACAGTGCCAGCAAGAAGAGGAACACAGATGGCACTGGTGGCACCTGGCTCAATGTCACCACTCTCTGAAGAATCCTGGTTGTCCATCAGGACACCCTATGTAGTCTTCAAACACAAAACTGTCCTCTGACACAACTCTGAATATTCCATGTATTTATATGCCAACAAACATCAAGGGAATGGACACTGCCAGTTACTATAAACATGAAATCCTAACTCACATCTCTTTTCCAGAGAAATACTACTTTATTCTGAGTAATAATTATGTAAAGATCTTCACAGCTAGTTACAACTTTTCTCCTTTTTTAAATGAAGGCTAGAATAGAAAAAGACTGCAACAATCGTCAAGGCTAAAATATCTTCTGCTTACCTGATGCAGTCATCTGTGCCAAGAAGAGGAGGTAAAGGGAAGTTGCATCCACTTGTAGATGCCCCCACTGGTCGTCCCCAACCACCGTGGCACAAGTTGCAGAGTTATACTTGGCATGGAGGCAGTCTTTGGTACTCTGTGTGCATTTGAACTTCTCTACCTTATTTACCTAAAAAGCACCACAAATTTCAAATCTGAAACATTTTGGAATAAATTCTCCAAACTATGTCAAAATGAACAACTTTTCTTAGGCACGAGAAACTTAAGGTCCTGATCCCTGCTACCTCACTTCAGTGTGTTTTGATTGATCAGAGTGCTTAAATGCAACTCTAACTTTAGACTCCATCTAAATTCACATCTGTCTGGGGAAGAATGAGATGAAATTGCCTTGTTGAGTTCAGATCTTAGTTACGAGTATGCATATTGGTGAAAATCAGCTGACAAAGGCAAAACCATGATTTGCTACAAGCACTATCTCAAAAAGGTGCAAGTACAATCAGAGCTTTGCTCAAGAGTTTTAAAAAGACTCCCCAGACCTCCATCTACACACACATGCAAAAGACACAAGAAACACATGCTTTGGATGAGATGCTTTATAAACACAAGGAGTACTAATTCAAATCATGACATTACCTGTCTCATCATGCACTGTAAGAGTCCCCGCATCAGCTTCACAACATTCTGTGGGAACAAAACAGACAAGTGACACCCTCACACAGCAGCTGTTACAAACAATACTCAAAAGTGATCAAGTTCACACCTCCTACTAAAGCTCTGGCAAAGGTGAATAAAAATGTGTATTTGCCTGAAATACCTTACATGCCTTTTCATATATAGATATAGATACAGATATACCAAATATAATGGTTGTATTTTATTCCCACATTCCTGACCAGAAGTGCAAGTATTTTCCCGAAGACCATCTCTAAACAACGGAGCATTTCTCTGTGGTCCTCCTATCCAGCTAAGAAGCAAGATGAATGCTGTGTCTTGTAACAATAATAATAATAGTAATTATTTTTAGAGTGACAGCTCCAGGGAACACTGGCAGGTGATTGCAAGACATCGACATGATTGGAAAACCTGTTGAGCTGTTTCTGCTCTTTATAAAACAGAAAGCAGATGACTAATGTAAGGAAAAGGCCTTTAGTGTGTACAAAGAGAAGTACAAGATCTTGCCTTACATGAAAACCACCCCCATCCTTTCACCCCAAAATTATTATAGCCTCAAAATATGATTGTGCACACTGAGTCAAGGTTATTTTGCCACTACAGATCTCCCTCGTTTGAATGGTAAATGTCAGCATAAAATTTACCCAGTGCCTGCAAAACAGAAGGACACCAATGCCAGCACCTCCTCACTTCCCATTTAACCCAACTTTGCACTCTCACTTCTGATGCCCACTTTCCCAGCTCCAGGTTACAGAAATTAACAGTGTGACTGACGTCCCCTTGCAATTCTCCAGCACACAAGTCTTCCAATTTTTGAGATCTTTATCTTGTTTAATTTGATCAAACACGTTTATGTATCACGTACACCTTCTCTGAGATGACACCAGTGCAAATTTTCAAGACTACTACTTAAACCGCCATGCTTCTCCTATGGGGTCCGAGCAACCTAGGCTGGATTTTCTGCTCATGAAGGATCTCAAGGTTTAATCAGAGGCTTGTAAATATGGGCATAAAATCTCTCAGGAGCCTAATTTTCAACAATCATCCAAACAATGGAAGTTTGACTCCTACATGGTTTTGTTTTGTTTATATTTTAACTCAGATGTTAGCCTCTCTGACACCCAGTTCTCTGACACCCACATTCCTGGTTGCTGGAAGGCTGCCAGAAACACTGCATACCACACCCTGCACCCGCAGGAACATGACATGTACTCCGAGCTGAAAAAACCCTGCCAGATCCTAGACAGAGCAGCAATGTATGCCAATCAATCATCAAAATCACTACTGTATGAAAAAAACAGCACTAACTGGTTCATGCCGAACTCTGACATACCTGCTCAAGCTCATAGGCCTTGGCTTTATCCTCATCCCGGTCTGCATTCTTCCGATAAGCCATCCCCAGCCCCCAGACAGCCAGGATGCTGTAGACATTGTCCCGTACCCAAGCATCTTTATGGTCTGTACTGGCTGAAAGCAGCCCTGTAACTGGGTTCTAACCACAGCAGAAAGAATAAAGAACAAACATCATTATCTGTATTAAGAAGCACCAGTTCTTTCTGTATCAAAGGGTAACAAAACAAAAGAGAGCCTAAGATGATTTCACACTGATTGCATGCTATAACTGGGCAGAATTTTGAAACAGAAGTGAGGTCCCATCTTTCTTTTCCCAAACTCACACAAGTGAAATACAAAATGTATGTGAACACTTCAGGATGTAAAGCTTATAGCATCTGGCTGAGCACCCAAACCCACATAGGATTATTAACTAAGTCACCGAGTAAAATTTTAAATACATTGAGGAAACAGGAATTTCAATTTTACATATTTGTAAGGAAAAGAGAGTACTGACTTAACATTAGAAATTTAGTCTGGATCTGTTCTTCTCTATGCACTGGTCTGTGGCATGATCTTGAGGAAGTAAAAAAGCAGTACTTCCCTTCTAGGAAATTAAACAGTATTTCTATTATTTACCTGCTGGGTTTATGACAGGTAAAGCACAAATGCATGCAAAGCCCTTTTTAAAAGTAGCCTCTTTTGAAAAATGAACAGGAAGAGAAATTCTGACGGTACTGAAAAGCAGCACTGTCGGAAAAACAGCACACTGAGTAGCCTCCTGCATCCCAAATTCCCCAATAAATTTTTCACTGCATCATTAATTCCCATCACTTCACTATCATTAGTTTTTAAGACCATCTTTCTCAGCTGTATGTTCTTCACTAACAAAAAGATGAGGTAGGGAGGCAAAAGGTCAATAGAGCTTTCAATCAAATCAAGCTTTTACAGAACATTTCAGTGCACAGGGCTGGTGTGACAAGGGGCAAAGATTACAGTAATAAAGATAAGTAAAATTAAAAAGAACACATACACCAGTTTTTCATTTCTGCCACACACTGGTTCACTCAACTCCTTCCTTAGTTATTTTTAAGACAGAAGTTTTGAGAGGGAGGAGCTTCAGCTACAATTTCCTTTGCATGTGACAGCTGGGCATGAAAACAGTGACAGCCTGACACACATGACTGGGCACAGCCAGTGTTATTGTTACGGTTTAAATACAGCAATGTCCAGTGGCTCGTGGAGAGCAGATACATGTAGTTCTGAAACAGTCCCACAGCAGTCTTCCCAAACCAAGCAACAATCAAAGGACACCAACTCATATGTTTGATGGGGAATAGAGCATAGAGGAATCCAAGGAGCTTAAAGAACTTCTTTCTAAACTTGAAAAGTCAAACCAAGGAGTAACAGAAGAAGTAAGCAAGCAAAGAAAGGACAGGTTACTCCCACCTCAGCACTGAGCCTGTGTTACAAAACACAGGATTTCAGTAGGCAGAGTGCACGCGTCCAGTATTTTTAGAGCGCACTTTTTTCCCCTCCCTCCCATGCAGGACAACAAACTTCTCTGCACCTGCAGCCCTGGCTTGACAGAGATCACCCTGCTGCCTGAGGAACAATCATTTTGGTTTATTTTTTCCCCATCCTCCATGCTGGGCTGGCTGCCAGTTGCAAAATCAAAATGCCTCCAGGTACCAAGATGGAAATCCCGGAAAAATGTCCCATGCAAGACTTTGAAAGCCCATTCATTCCCCAGGGAGGTACCTGTCTACCTTCAAGAGATTGCATTAAACACATCCTAAGGCAGCTATCACCATTTCAGAGCCTCTGGTTCACCTACAAGAAGGTCCCAGCTCTTCGGGCACACTGGGCTGGCACCCATGGACTGACAACACATTAATGTTGATCCTCATGCACATGCAGAATGCTAGCAGAGCAACACAACATTAATTAATATTTAAATGGTTTGGGGTTGTTTGTTTAGAAAATCCTTACTTTTAAAACTACAGTTACTTTCTTCTGTTGCCTGCTGACATCATATAAAAAGCACAACCCTTACAAAATGCTAAAAAACCTAAACACTGAGTGTGCTTAACCCTAAAGACATCAAAGAGATTTTAGCTCAGCTAAAATGTCCACGCAGTGATCACTAACCGGACTAGCAGGTCTCACCCTGCAAGTCACACAGCACATACAGATACACGGAGCAAAGAATTTTACCAGCACCCATGGGCTATGTGGGTTGAAAGCATCTCTACAAAAAGCTGATTGACAGATTAAGACTTTAAACTGCTGTATCGTGCCCAATCCTATTTTCAAGTTGATCTGCTAATCTGGAGACCAAAAGAAACCCCACCAAAACACACTACCAGTTCCTACAGAGGTCCAGATGCCATTAAGAGCTTCAGCATTACAGGCACAAAAATAGGGGGGTTCTAAGCCCACATTTATCATCTTGCTGAAAACCTATTTAATTTACATCTGTCTCATTTACTCATCAGATGAAAACTGAAGTAAGCTCTAGCAAAGTTTGCAGCTAAGACTGTTTACATGAAACCAGACATGGCACAGTTGGGGTTATATGTAAATGTATGCCACAGGTGCTTTCCTTACCAGCTCCGTGTGCTTTTCTCTTATAGTACCCTAGCAATACTTACAATGTATCTAGACATTAAGTTTTGCTATTTTATGGACATATTTTAAGATTTCCATTTTTTCTTACCTCAATCAAATAAACAAGTGTAATGAGCAGCTGAGAACAGCCTTCTGGTCATGCTCTTCAGTGCTTACTCAGCTACACTAATGAAGCATCCCTCTGGCCCCCATCCCCAAGGGCACAGGACAGGAGCTGGTACTTTGGTCTTACCCTCCTTGTACAACCTTTAACAGGATCGTACCTACCCCTGTGCACACTGCAGGCAATTGTGCTGATTAGCACAAAGCAGTGCTTGCAAAACACAAAAAAAGTAGGCTACAGATCCAACCCCGTGAGATGCTACATACGGAAAACTGTCAATGTTGGTGAGGGATCCGGAACTGTGCTTTGAATGCATGTCTGCCTGGTAGCACACGTATTCTGAATTACAATTTTTCTCTAAAATGACATTGATTTAGAGTGACTGGAATGAACACAAGATCAGTTGCTGCTACTGAGGAACATGACCCCTGGTGTACTAAACACCTTCTTATCAAAGCAAAATGTTCCTGAGCACACGTGTTCTCCCTGCTGCACCCTTACGAGAGCAAGCTCATTACTTCTGCTCATCAGAGCACACAGTATACGTGCCAGGTCTGCACACATGGCATGCCTGTGGCCCGGAGGTACACGGTCACAGCCACACACAACCCCTGTGTGAAGCAGCAACACTTCAGAAGCACCTTAAATGCCTCCTGGTTCTTCTGCCAGTCTGCTCGTGGGCAAACCAATGGATTAAATTCCCTTCCCTGGCTGTCCTGAAAGGCACCTGCAAAGCACCAGCAGTGAAGCAGCAGCCCAGCCTGTCGCAGGCTATTCTGCTCCCAAGCAAGAAAGGGTGGCACGTGACTCAAAGACAACTGTCCTAACTTGCCCAAGGAAGGGCTGCATCTCTTCACCTCACTCAAGCTGAACATTTTCAGCCTACTGCAGTGGAAAACCATAGGGACTACATATATAGAAAACAAAGCTAGAAACCCACATTGCAACATCCCTCTGGACTGCCCTGTGCACTATCCCTCTGACCTGCTGCTAGACTGTGATTTGCTTTCCACACACCAAAGAAAACTTACTTATGTCCTTTGCCCACCTCTGAACTTTCCCTAGCATTGAGCACTTAATGGAAAACACATCCAAGCACTGTCAATAGCAATTAAGAAATTCTATGTCACTGGTATAAACTCCCACATTACCATTAAGCTACACCCTTTTTGCTATTGTTAACTACTCATAGTTTTAAGGCACAGCTTTCATGGGCCATGTTTGATCTCTGGATCTCAGAGGCTCCATCTCTCCTGTAATGGAAGCTGTTATTAGCATCCTCACCCTATAAATATGGAAACCAAGACAGACACTGGAAGCCAAAGTGACTTGTCTAAGGTCATCTTGCTGAAGCACAGCTCAAAGCATCTCCTGCACCCCAGCACAGCAAGAGAGCAAAATTATCTTCTCATACCACTTATGCCATATTCTTGCATTTGTTTCTAAAGAGCTTGTAACAATTAGTTCACAAACATTAATCCACAGGTGTCTGGACCCCGTGCCCACAACAACAGTCAGTCTTACTGACCTAAGTGGATTTAGGTCCTAACCTCTTCTTTTACTGCTCTCCAGTTTCTTGTAACTCTCAGCAAGTATATTTGGGAACTGACTTATGCAAAAAACCCTGCTGCTCTCCTCTTTATGTACTGGACTGTTTTAACTGAAGCATGGCACTGCAGAGCACACTGTGAGAAACATAATCATAGAACACTGGGTTGGAAGGGAACCTCAAGGATCATCTGGATGACAAGCATGACCATGTCCAGCACCCTGTCCAGGGGAATCTTTAAAGTCCTCAGAACCTGCCTGGGTGAAGTGAGGACAAGCAGAGAGCACTAGGCCAGGTAGGATGGGGCTTTGAGCAACCTGGTCTAGTGGAAGATGTCTCTGCCCATGGCAGTGGGGTTGGAACTAGGTGATATTTAAGGTTTCTTCCAACCCAAACCATTCTATGGCTCTGTGTGTGCTGACCAAAAGCCAGAACAGGCAATAGGTTTTCCCTCACCAGCCCTGACACCATTTTGTTATTTGGCTGCTCACATACGCAGGCAGCCCTACTCCACGACCCAGAGCCCGAGCAGTGAGACACCATGAGAAGTAACCCCAGGCACACCAGTGCTGCAGAGGCTGCCCCTGCAGCAGGTCAGGATGGGAATCTCTTGGACGTGCACTGCTGCACACATACTGCACAAAGCACTGCGAGTCCAGCTCTGTCCTGGATTCACCCCGAGCTGACGCTGACAGACACATTTCAAAGGCCTTGCTTGGAAACCGTACGTTACTGGGACTTAGGAGTGCTATGGGTATGTGTGTGTATATATATATATACGTACCACTACAACGGGTGGGTGTGTATCATATGACCACGAACACATTCTATACACAATATTATCGTTTGCAAGCTCAGACTTGGTGCGTTTCTTACCCATCTGCCAATGTGCACTTACATGAGCGGCTGGCGAGCACCACAAGGACCTGCACCGCCTCAGCTTTCCCGGCTCTCTCCCTCAGCCGGGAACGGAGGCCGTGCGCGAGGGGGGGGCAAGAGATTCTTTTCCCCCGGCCCCGTCTTGGCCCTTTTGTGACCAGGCTGCGTCCCCCATCAGCCCCCCAACCCCGGCCCGGCGTCCCGCAGCGGCGGCAGCCGCCCTCACCTGGTGGCAGAGGATGGTTCGCTGGACCAGACGGGCGTAGCCGTCCAGGCGCACCCCCGAGTTGCTGCGGCTCCTCATCGCACCGCGGCCGCCCCGCTACCGCCTCAGCCGGCCCAGTTGCCAGGCCCTTTGCCAGGCCCTTTGCCAGGCCCCCGTAGCGATCGACCCGGCAGTTCCCGGAGATGGCGGCAGCTGCCTCCTGCCTCCTCCCTCCCGGCCAGCCGGCCTGCCCCGGCGGGTGGTGCGCCAGCCCGCCTTCCCTCCGGCGAGGAGGGGCGGAACGGGGCGGGGCGGAAAGGAGCGGGGAGTCCGGCCTCTTCCCCCCGTTCCTCCATCCCTGTCTACGGCGTGGTGGGGTGGAAGGCAAAGCGAGCCTGCGGAGCCCTAAAGAGCAAGGGTGCTTATGGTGCTGGGCGGGATGCACGAAATCACAATTTCAGCCTGTGGGAAGAAGAAGGCTTTCCCTGCGGTGTTCCCAGCTGCTGCTCTGGGGGGCGGCAGGAGGAGGTGAGCGTGAGGGACGGCCGGCAGCCGGGACACCGGGAATGTCTGCGTCCAGGGGAGCAGCCAGGGGCAAAGGCAAGGCCGTGCAGCCTGAGCTGTGGCGCGGCAAGTGATGAAAGCCAGGATAAATGATCCAAACCAAGGGCGATTTTATAGATCCTCTTCATTGGTGGGACTGTAGTGGTAGGACAAGGGGTAATGGGTTAAAACTTAAACAGAAGAAATTCAGGTTAGATACAAGGAAGAAGTTCTTTACTGTGAGGGTGGTGAGGCGCTGATACAGGTTGCCCAGAGAAGTGGTAAATGCGCCATCTGTGGTAGTGTTCAAGGCCAGGTTGAACAGGGTCTTGAGTGACATGGTCTAGGGTGAGGAGTCCCTGCCCCATGGCAGGGGGGTGGAACTACATGTCCTTTCCAACCCAAACCATTCCATGATTCTATGATAATGGTGCAAAAAGCCAGAACATTCATAAGGTTTAAAAGATTGTCATTGTTTATTTGTTTTGTTGTTGGTGGTTTTTTTTTGTTTTTTTTTTAATGATTGGTTGTTTTTTTTAGCATTAAAAGTACCTTTACCAGGTATCTTCACACCCTAGCCTTGGCTTTCCAACTCAATGAAGAAAAAGATGTAGAGATTTCTGATGGAAATGGACCCACTGTTCCCATGATGCACACTAAGGGCATTAGACAGTGGGTGCTTTGGAATTTGCCATGGCATGTCTTGTGCTTCCACACTAGTTCCTGACTACAGGTAGGGTGGGAGCCAGCAGAAAGAAGGGCACTCAGGCAAAGGACACCAAGCCTTAGAAATGTGACAAAGACTTTAAAACAAACAAACCAACCCAAACCTACATGTGTTAGAGTTCCGAAATCTTCAGTGATTTTCCTCTGTGCTCCCCATCACAGAGCAATGGGAAGCGTGGATGGGTGCTGAAGCACAAAAAAGATGTTGCAGAGTAGCTGGAGGTGTGAGGTGTGGGATTCACTCGAACTTCATAAAGGATTTTTTTTTCTGTTGCCTTTTTTGCTTTCCTCATGTGCAATTGCAGCATTAACAGAGTTAGTTTTGCAGTTCTTTTTCGCTGTGCTGACTTCATTGACTGTATAACCGGCAGCATGGTTGACAAAACAATTTTCAAAGGAGGCCTGTTCCTTAAGGGGTGGCTGTCAGACACTATTCTGATAAGCACCCCACAGTGGGAAGGGGACAGGGCACTACTTAGGGGCTCCTAACTCCATCAGCCCAAGCCCTGAAGCTGCAGCTCAGGGGAGGCTGCACAGTCCCACAACATGGATCTGTTCCCTCTCCCCTAAGCTGTGCATGGGCTCCCTGCTCAGGGCAACTGTTTTTTTAGAGAAAGAATTGCACATGCATAGGGAACATGTTTGCTGAGCAGGGTGGTGCCAGCTGTACACAGAGTGTTTCAACAGAAAATGAATGACCCCCTGGTGCTCTGGGAAGGGGTTGCGGCTTTCACAGAGTGCAGGACTGCCATGGCTCAACTGCTAGCAGTGCACAAGACATCAAGGACCAAAAGGATACTGACACCCAGTGTGCAAAATCATTCTCAGTTGGTTTAATGATGAGAATCATTTACTAAGATAAAATAATATGCTGCTGTGGGTGCAAAATTTTTCTACACTATGTGTGTGCATTTAAGTGGCAAAGTCAGAAAAGACACACCCCCCTCCAGAAATATATGAAATAAAATCATTAAAAGAATCATAACATATGTTAGTGTGCAAAAAATAGAAAAAGAGGAGGATTCCAAGCAGGTCAGTGGCAGTGGAATATGTGTTTTTCATAAGGAATTTAATTACTCAAGCCCAACTCCACTTTGGAGGACCTTCAGCAGACTTGAGGGCAAGCACTGTCAGCGTTTTCTCTGCTTAAAACCAGATCTGCTAGAACCACGAAAGGGAAAATATGTGGAAGACAATAAATCTAAGGGCTAGTCACCATCCTCTACAAGAGGTTACATACTGCAGCTCATGTCATCTGCAGAACTGGAACATGGCCCACTGTAACGACACATTTATCTAGAAGACAAAGTTTATGTATTTTATGTGTTGTACTTGCTGTAAATGTATTAACTTTTTTTTTTTTTACAGTTGAAAATATAAATACAAGAACATTAAATAAATTTACAAGAAACAGTGCAAAGGCAATTAGCCAAATAGTCAAAGCATTCACAGAAATGCATTCCAGCTACTAGCATGCCAGGACAGTCTTTTATTAACATGCAGTTAAAACCTTGTGGGTAAACACAACAAATACTTAAAATTCTCACTTTAAAAGTCTATTCAGAGTAGTCCTAGACACAGGAGACCAAAAGAACCTGTGCATTGCATACAGACCCACAAGAGGGCTTGAGTACTGAAGAGATTCAATTGCTGAGCTACAACCAAGCCCTAGGTAGGAGGCATCTATCTGATGCTTTTTGTGGGTAAGAGAACTTCCAGGGCTCCCTACCGAGTCTTCTGGGAAAACAAAGCCCTTTCTCGCCTCCACTGTGCATCTGCCTCAAAAAATCTCCTTTACAGGGTCTGGTACTCTGCAGTGTTGCCCCAGTTTGTTCTAGCTGTTGCTCCAGGAGCAGCTAACCTTTGCCCAAGAATACAAGTGTCCACAGCTGCGCACCTGCGTGAGAATGAAGAGGTACAACTACGGCTCAGGCTAATTTTTGTTCAGGAAGAGTCTTCACAATGTTGTATGGGGCTTTCAGCTGTTGTGCATGAAGAGCCAAAATCCAGCTTTTTCAGACAACTAATCACAAAAGGGAACCAGCCAAGGGCCATAGTACAAGCAGAAATACTCACTAGCATAGCTCAAGAGCTGCCCCTTTAAAAACAGCCACACAATGGAACAAACAATTTCATGGCTACTAAATATAGCAGCTAGCATTTACCCTCTGTGTATTTTTTTCTTCTAAAAAAAACCACTTCTCTACTTTATCATTGCAAATGAGAAATGGCAGCGAGTTTAATCTCTGGAACCACACTTAAGGTAGAATACTGACCCTGCTGAAAACAACACTAAAGTTCCCATTGACTTACTCAAGCCACTAACATAACTGAATTGTACTTAATAACCTACTGTTTATCACTCCCTCATTCATGGCACTTGGATGATATCCAGTTTCTGTCCCTCTGTGGTGTACTGAGAGGTTGCTAAAGGTTCAAGACCAATACAGTTTGTATTTACAGTTCTGTATCTAGTAAATATATTTAAACCACTGTAAGTGATTTCATTTCCTAAAGAAATCAACTTCTGTCTCATTCTATGTTAATAATCTCAATTAAAGAAGAATTCAAACTTACAATAAAAGTTAAAACAAAATACCAATTATTTTTCTATACAGAGGAATATTTAAATTTATATTACAAGAAATAAATATAAAAGTAACACTAAGATGCTTAGTTTGGTTTTTTTCTGTTTATGTACATCACTACAGAGTTTGCTTCTACAACGTACAAAAAGTTGAAGGTTGTATGGCTAACATTTTTAGAGCTAACATCATTTCTACAGACAAGCTGTAACTTCCTACATTTCTATAATTCTACTATGCATTATATCAGATAAATTTAGTTGTAATAAAAAAGTCTAATCAAAACTTTCTTTTAAATGTAAAAAAAGACGTCAAAATAAACCTCTAATGAAGAATCATAATGGAAATGTGCCAGCTGTAATTTGACATCCACAGTAACTTGTCAAAATAGTAGCTTCCTTTTTTCTTCTTCTTTTTTTTTTTTTTTTAAATAATTGTCCTTGTCAATTCAATGCATGGCTGCCTTGAAGTTCCAGTACCATACGTTAAATAAAATCAGTTCTTGGTCTGCTCACATTATGTAAAACCGTTAAAGTAAATCTCTACTTCACACTGTAAACCAATATGCTGTTTAAAAGGAAATCACATTTTCTCGATAAAAGTTAGGCTTCCCCTCTTTGAAGTCCTTCTGAGCGAGATGTGGCTTTTCTGGCTGCCTGTATCATCCTTTTCTTGCAGTACAAGTTGTTTGCCTGAAAAGTCATGAAGACACAAATCACCATTCTGTACACTGAAAGAAACACCATTCTTCTCACTGGCAAGATGGCCTGTTGAAACAGAAAAAAAGTGCATCCCATCAGAAAGGTTCAGTCTCAAGTCTCCCACACTTTTTCAGTAACTGAAGGGAGTTCAGGCACTCTCATTTTATCCCTGCAACAATTTCAAAATGTGTATTTTTCTGTACATAATCTGCATATATTTCTTTTTGTGTGTAGAAGCCAGTGAGATTTGAGAGATGTTAATATATTTATGTACAACGGGATTCTGTATGCTCCAACCCTGGCAGTGTTCAAGGCCAGGTTGGATGAGGCCTTGGGTGATATGATTTAGCGTAAGGTGTCTCTACCCATGGCAGGGGGGTTGGAACTAGATGATCTTAAGGTCCTTTCCAACCCTAACGATTCTATGATTCTATGATTTGAAGCAGCAAAGATCACCGTTCTCAGAATGCAGACTTTGACTTGGAATAAACATCAGTAGATAAGGTGCAAAATAGTTCTCATTCTAGTTTTGCTTTAACAAGCTAAGTTTAAAAGGTTTCTCAGGTTTGCCATGCATCTGAAACAAGCAAGTGTTGGAGAATACAA